TTTCGAATTGTAGGATTATGTAACATTATTTTTTAAAATACTGTGTATATTGTAATTTTACTACTGCTACTATTGATAATAATTTAGGTCTCTTGTAATTATAAATAAACTTTTATTCATATTATAATCTCGAGAGTTCGATTTTTTTTGGCACTCCGTACTATGTTTTAGAGGTATCAGTTATCCCGAAGCCTTTGGTCGCTGGAATTCCACTGAATGCAAGGTTTTTTCGATACCATTAATTTTAGGTACCTGTCATTTCGGTTTTATCTAATTGAACAGTTGTTCCGATATGACTGAAAAACCAGATTGCTTACTGAAATTCAGTCTTCGTACTCCCTCTTGTTAACAACGAGTTTTTGCTGAGAACTCCATTATTGTAGCTGGGTACAAGAAAAGTTCCAGTTTAACACTAAAATTTACATCGCTGACGACAACTTAGCGTCAGAGTATTTTAATTCTTGTGAATAACCTTTTTGCCGTAGTTGAATACACGTTTGTTTCTAATTTTGTCTTGATTATCTTGCGAAGAAGTTATTCAGAGAAGAGACAAATTCTATAAAAGCACGTTTTCTAATGTCGCAGTATAGTTCATCATGAATTGATAAAGAGACGTCGATAGTGAGTAAAGAAAGTATGTGCTGATTTTTCATTTCATCTTCACAACTGATATTTCTCTGTAAATAATTCGGCAGTATCGGGTATTACTGTAAGTTCTGAGGGAGATACAAAGGCTTGTTGATGCTTTCAAAAAACTGTTTTATTTTTGATATTTTATGCAGTTACTATGACGATTTTGAATAAATTCTGTGATAAGCTTACTGTTACGTACTACTTAAGAATTGTTGAATCCTAATGAGTATCTCGATCAACTAACTTAGTACTTTTTATTGATCGGTTTTGTGAATTAACTTCTTAAATAAGAGTTGAATAAAGATTTTGAACATCATCTTTCTTTCGTTATTCTTCCACTGAATATGTTCATTCGTCCTTGACTCAAAGGCAAATATCTGTCAATCTGCAATATTTTATTAATTTAAAATTCGTTCAATCGCTTTCTCTTAAGAACTTTGTTGTTTTCGTTGAGAAGCACATGTATCATTGCAATGGCCTTTCTTAAGATGTAGGACGTCTTTCATGCTAAAGAGAATTGTGAATGAATCCTGTTGGACTGGTAGCAAACTCGCTTGGATAGAGATTAAAAAGAGAATTTCGATTCATACAAATTTTTTTCAAAATTTTATTGTTTGTAATTATCTTTGAAAGTTGATTTTTCCTGCTTTGGTTGTTGAGGATGACAATCAATTGTTTGCATACATTAAAGCTCATGAAATTAGTTTCTGAACTATATGTGGTGAAATTCACGTAGAGTTTATGGAGGATTAAGGTCTGGAAATATTTCATAAAACGGATCTGGATCAAAGTATTCTGAATCTGATGGATTGCAACTGTCAATATGCAACTCTATTCCTCACCCACTTGCATGTTTGGAACACTGCAGCATCCTTTCTTAGTAAGAAAAAAATCCTCTTTTTTTCCTCCTTTTTTAAGAGTAATCCTACCAAAGACTCGGGTCATAAATCCTCCTGATTCCTCCTTTTCTTCATATGGTCGCTAACATACCAGTAATTAACGAAAGTAGCAAACTATGAACTGATATTTAAACTCAATAAGTTTATGTGTAGTATGCAAATGATACTACATGTTATGATATGTGATGTTAAATTATTTTTCAAAAACTGTTCATTCCTTTAATCATAGTTAATTTAGTTGATAAAAGCGACACTAAACATGTATTTATTTCTTTATAATTTAAGAAAAATGTACAGATTTTGAGAGCATAATTAGAGACGCGATGATGGATACAACTAATTCATGAAATTGTCAAACAGAGAAGATACTACAACGTAAATGTTCAGTCTCTTATATATAACTATCAATTAATATTTGTCCACTGCACCATCGAATGATTTGCTCAATAGTTAACATTATTTGTAACATACAAGGTATTTCTTCATTCCATTTCGATCCTCCAATTAAATGAATCCACCATCGATATATACTCATTACTTTATGAGCTAAACCATGATTGCTTACTGTAGCATAATTTGAAGCAAGAACTCCATTAATAACAATAGTACCTGATGGAGTTAATGGTGCATAATATCCTTCTTGTTTTGTTGATTGAATACTTATTATTTTACCAGGCACAATTTGATTATTTTCAATTAGTTGTACTCGATCGTTAACGTGAAATTTTCCAGCGAATTTTGCTTCACCAGAATCGAAATCGAAAATTAGATGATTAGCAGAAACATAAAGAGTCGAAGACAAATTAGACACAGCTGATTGTATTTTGATTGATAGGAAAGTAAAGAGACCTTCTCGTTTAGCATGTATGAATGAGATGACAGGTTCATAGGTATTGTTTTCATTAACGAGTACTTTGTCACCAATCTGAATGTGAGATAGTGATTTGAATGTACCATCAACAAGAGTCATTTGGCTAGAACCTGGAAAGCAACTAGCTTTTTGCGCTGATACTTCGCAGTTGTATTGCATACAGACGCTTGCTGAGATTGAGACGCAACTGCAAGTTAAATCATAACCAATTATATTCGAAGAACCTCGACTACTTGAGGATCGACTTGATTCATAGAGTCTAATCGATAGCATAAGAAATGTGTGAAGCACGGCGAATGCCATTTTATTACGGGATGATCTATGTATGACGTACGTTTTGTAATGATAAAGACAGAATTTCCTTATAAAAAGGTTTCTGAAATAAAATCAAAACTTATAAGAATAGTAATCAAATCAGAAGAAAAACAACAAATCAACCGAAATCTATATATTTCTAAACGAAAACATATCGTCCATTCAATCATTCGCTTTCAACTAAGAAAAGCGGCCATGATCAATTCGTACCGTTATTCTAATTTGGCTGTTGTCTTATTTTGAGAACATTGGACTTTAATGAAATATAACTTTTGTCATAATATAGTATTTTCTAATTTTTTTCTTCATTCAGCGCACTTCCCTTAAATTGATAGTATATTGACTAGAGCTTGTAATTCTTAGTACACTTTTGTTAGCAGTATAAGCAAGTTAGTTTTTAAAGATCTTATAAGTTTAGTTCTGTATAACTAAAGATAAATTGTCAAAACTATATGAACAACTTTCGACTTTGACAATATCACTTGAAGGGTGGCGTATGGAAGGAGTTTACAAGGTTTTAACAGTTCGTGATTCTTTTGAATTCAATAAAAAAAACCTCTTGGACGACTTGGCATGACTGAATATACTTATTAAAGCTAGTATTAAAACACGATTTTTGATATGGTCTCAATGAAAAATAATGAAAAAAATTTGTGTTAAAAATTAACATTAAATGTTTGGTGCATCCGAGAAGACTCTATATCAAAATCTGATTACGAACAGTCTTGGAAATCTTTTAATGTAGCTATATGATGACTTTGTTTTATAATTTTGTAAAATTAAAATTAACCTATGATGATTATGCACTTGCAGACATAGACCTTTTCCTATATTTGGAATTTCATTGTTTTCTGTTGCATGAAACATGATTTGATTTGCTCTTCATCGAATTAAAACATTTTGCCGCTTGACTTTCATTTTCTTCGTCAGCTAAGAAAGAATTTTAACGATCAAAGTTGATATAATTTTGCATAACGAATAATCACACCTATCTGTACTCATTATCTACAATGGAAACAGATAAAAATGATGAAATTTCATAATTATCCGATCGATTTTACTTTTATTATAGCTCTGTCTTATTCTTATCAACGAACTCAATAAAACTTGCCAGATTTGTTTGTATCGGATGTTTTTTTTCTGTTTTATAACATTATTGTCAGGTGCTTTCTTTGATGCTCACAAATAGTATTGATTCATCCATCGCAACAAAAAAAATACATTTGTCTGCATTATGTTTCACCGCTGTTAATTTGTTTTGCAGTGTGTATGCTTCTCGATTCACGACGAAAAATGATGTTAAAATAAATATGAATTGATGTTGTTTTTTTGGCATTCTGTTTTCTAGATGAGAAGCAATTAGAATAAATTTATTTTTGCAGTAGAGTCCACTCATTTCTCAAGTAATTTGTTTTTTCTTACAACTAAACGAAAATATGTTTGCAACAATTTTCTTCATTATTTCTTTCAGGTTCTGAATCGATAAAATACACTGCATACTGTTTTAATACTATGAAAGATGCAGTAACAAGCAACATACAGAATTTTAAAGTTTGGCATTCGAGGTCATTTTTTGATATCATGGTGAGAAGCAAAACTATGATAGTAATCAGAGAATACGAAATCGTGAGAAAAACCACGAATATAACGATGTACTGTAAAAACGAGTAGAGTTCGATACTTCTAATAAAGTAAAATATAAAAATCATTCGATATCTTCATAGATCTTCGTTTAATTATAAAATATGACTTTCTTTTAATTTTGACTTTTGGTAATATAACTTTATCATAAGTTGGTGAATTAGGGTTTTTGAGATATTTTTGATGTTTTTTTTTCCAAAAATTTGTTTATAAAGATTTTTTTTTCTTCACTAATTAAACATTTCTTCTTGATGAAAAATGTCTATCTCTAGGAGAAAAACGTACATTAGACTCAACGATGAAATCAAATTCATTTTAGTCTAATAAATATATTTTATCAAATCATTGTAATATCAAATTAGATTATCAAAAAAGCTCAACTAAATCTTCTGAGGCGTACATTATCTTTAATTGACTTATATTTCCTATTAACATAATTCTATAGTAACCTAAGGTTGCCAAAGTGAAAATAGAGCCTTTATTACTCGATATTTCACAATATGTCAGTTTTATTTAAATAATTAGAATAAAAAATCATTTTACGCTGATACATGAATAGATAATGTTCAAATAAAATAGGTTAACAAACTCATAGATTTTTAGCTCATAAAAATTTCGGTAAAAAAGAATATCAATAGTTTTCATGCTAATGAAGACACTTGAAATTTGCCATCATAAATGTCACTATTTGTAAATATTTGTCCACTACACCATCGAATGATTTGCTCAATAGTTAACATTATTTGTAACATACAAGGTATTTCTTCATTCCATTTTGATCCTCCAATTAAATGAATCCACCATCGATATATACTCATTACTTTATGAGCTAAACCATGATTGCCTACTGTAGCATAATTTGAAGCAAGAACTCCATTAATAACAATAGTACCTGATGGAGTTAATGGTGCATAATATCCTTCTTGTTTCGTTAATTGAACACTGATGATTTTACCAGGCACAATTTGATTATTTTCAATCAGTTGCACTTGATCGCTGACATGAAATTTTCCAGCGAATTTTGCTTCACCAGAATCGAAATCGAAAATTAGATGATTAGCAGAAACATAAAGAGTCGAAGACAAATTAGACACAGCTGATTGTATTTGGATTGATAGAAAGTCAAATAAACCTTTGTGTTTAGCATGTATGAATGAGATGACAGGTTCATAGGTATTGTTTTTGTTAACAAGTACTTTATCACCAATCTGAATGTAAGAGAGTGGTTTGAATGTACCATCAACAAGAGTAATTTGGCTAGAACCTGGAAAGCAAGCTGCACCTCTAGCTGTTGTTGAGCAAGTATATTTCATGCAGACACTTGAAGACACTGAGTCACAAGTGCAAGTAGAATCATAACCTGACTGGCTGTTGACAACTATGATATTTTTTCCAATCAAAACAACAATTGATAATGAACGTACCATTGCCAATATTTTGCAGTCCACCGAAGTATGCATTATTTTATGTTATGCTTGATCTCAAATTTCAACGTATATCTATAAATAGACATTATCATTTTCAAAATATGAAAGAATTAAATCATTATGTATATTCAATAGAATGTACGTTTCAGTCAGCGACTACCCTTAAACAATAATTGTTTTACACGTCGTTCATTTCGATAATGCAGTACTTTGTGTTCATACGATGTTTTTCTATTTTCACTTGGAGTAAAATCTTTTCTTAATTTTATTTCTTTCAGATTCGATTTCCGATATTGGAAAGATAAAGTTCTTAGGTATAAATTTTGAAGAAAAAAAAAATCATTGACTCATCATAGATCATTGAATGATAGATTAAAGACTATCTAAAACGTAGAGAGTATAAATCGTTTCGTTTAGAAAATGGTATTCTATGCAATTGAAAAATATTTCTTACCGATCAACTTAATTTACCTTGCGAAAATTGTTCTGCTTTCAATGCTGACAATTAGTATTGATTCATTCATCGCAACAAAAAATAGACGCAAAAATCTCTGAATGGCGAAAAAAATTACATACGTTTGAATTATGCTTTACCTCTGTTAACTGGCTATTCAACATGCATGTATTGATTTGCGACGAAAAATGATGTTGAAATAAACCTGAATCGATGATTTTTTTTGACATTCTGTTTTGTAGATGCGAGAAGCAGTCAGAATAAATTTGTTTTTCCAACATCATTCAACAATTCTTCAAGAAATTTTCTTGCCGGTGTTCATAACTAAATGAAAACAAAGAATAATCTTGCAGATTTTTAACTGTTGAATTCTTTGAGACGCATTTGATTAAAATTCCAGATGTCACTATGAAGATTTGTGTAATGAAACTGTGGTGAGATGAGTTGAGGGCGTATCCAGAAAAAGTACAACATTGAAAAAAAACATGGACATTGAAGAATAAATGACCGATGTCAATAATCTTCCTCAAGAAACACTTGAAAAATAATGAAATGCTGTAGGCAGTATTTTGAACCGCAAAGGTACCGAAGAGAAAATCGCTTTTTTTGACATCTGTTGTGAAATGGAACTGGGTCAAAACGTAGTCGACTCAGAAGGAAAACGAAAAAAAAAACAATCATGAATAAGTCAGAAAGTCATCGTACCTGGCCAAACGTTCATATAAAAGGTCAGTCATGTCTACTACCGAAAGTATTGGAAAAAGGTTGAATCCACCAGCAAATAGAGACAGCACTGACAGATCGTTGGCTGCGATCCTCAAAAGTTACCGAACTTCGCCGACACTACTCGAAAGCTTGCGGAAAATCATGCTTTGTCTCGGAACAACTTCGAAAATCGACGGAACTTGGCCACAGCATTCCGGATCAGAATGTTGCTAGGTTTGTATCTAGAATACTGCATCGGAACAGACCAAAAAATACGAGGTTCAGTCATGTTTTCTAGATATCCCTTCTAGTTTCGGAAGGGTGTGCGTGTGAGCGAAAACATTATTCATACCCGTACCTTCGATCGGTTGATGCCATTCATTTGAAACATTGATCCATTATTCACATAATGGGTGAAAAACTTGCTTGCTACGACTTGACATTATATGGACTATGTCTTTGTGTTCTCGAGTTATTCAAGCTGCTATCACTATCGTTCTATTTTGAAACTTATCGTAGCTTCTCTCATAGCCATCGACTAGCATTTTACTTCATCATTGTTGACTTGTTTTTTCATTAATGCTAGAGTAGTTCTCTATGTATACTTTATTATGTTCAACAAAAACATGAGAGTAATGCCTCTATTCAACAGTACAGAAGAGAACATTTCACTAAAAAAGAATTTCAGCGATGACACTTGTCGGATACCAGTTTGAGAAAAAAAGAGAAAAGAAATGCAAAATGTGATTGAGCACTAAAGAAGATTCGAAACTGAAGTTTACAGAAAAGAACTGATAAAACAATTAGTCAGCTAATTTGCGTGATTTTAACCGTTTCACAAAGTCTATATACAATATACGATAGAAAAGAGTGTAATTTATGATCCACATAACGGGTACAGAAAAATACATAATGAACTTATAGTAATGAATGCCAATTCGTTGTCTATTATGAAAGATAGAAATAGTAAGATAGGCTAATATTGCCAAACGACATATAACAAATGTAACGATGTTGATAATCTTTGTTAGCCGAACAATAGGATGTTCTCGTGGAATCTTGTATAGATGAAATAGTTTACGTAAATGTAAAAAGACCGAATTAACTTCAGCAATGAGTGCTACCATTTGATAACCAATATATACCCGATAAAAGACATTTGTGCCGAAAACGAAGATCATCTAAATAAGATTGTCGCAATCAAAAAAAATCAAAATTCGATTGTGTATGAGATTTTTCTTTCCCATCAACTTGAAACACCGAAAAGAGTTGAAAACTTACGACAACATGATGAAGAGTCAATTCGAACACATCGAATCCTCGTAGGTTCGAGACAATATCAACTAAATCGTGCAAAAAATATCCTAAACAAATGGAAAAAAACAGATTATAGGTCATGCATATTCAGATTTCGGACCAAAAGAAAAGCAACAAGTCAAATAGGTGATCCAAGAGATGTGATTGATATAATCACGGTGGATGTCTGGTGAATAATTCCACAAGCTGTAGACAGCTAGAACACCGGTGATAAAGGCGTGCAAACAACTGATCGATATGTTTGTTTGTTTCCAGCGATCGAAATTTGCATCGGTGAGCCAAGTACGAATGATTAGCGATTGTTGGGTATCTTTCACGTTTCGTTCTTCATTACTTTTCGTATCGTCAGATGTGTAGCAATTCGCTATTAATTGATGGCACAAATGACGACAGATCAGAAAGAAGACAAACGTAAATGTGGCAAAAATGGTGCCAGTAAAGATACTTATGGTAACCATCATTAGTGTCTGTGAACAGAAGAAAACCTGTGAAATTCAGTTAAATATAATTCTTGCGTTGCGAGTCCTCTGTAATTGATTACTGATAGGTACAGTTGACATATACGAGCGTAGATGAGTCACCTAGAGGATGTGAATAACTATTTATGTTCGATATAGATTGATTTTTCTTGTCGAAAGAAGGTCAAACCTCCCCAACCTTTATCATTCCGTAGTACTTCCTTATTGTCATCTCACGGCAAAACGAATATAGTTCAACGCAAGTTGATAGCATGAGTTTTGCCATCCATCTGTGTCTTGTCGAACTTCTAACACTAAAAAACCTCGTTCACTACTATCTCATATAGGTTGTTCTTACATGCGTCTCAATTAACAACATTGATATTCCAAAAGTTGCTTGTGTAAAACAGTTTACAACGATTTCAAAATTGATCATAGTTAATCGATTCTAATCCTTCATGTGATGGATAAGATTGCTAAGTTTTTAATTGCAAAGAACTAACTTGAGAACTACTGTACAATACTGCTTTTCGCCGTTGAGTGAACAAAATTTACTTTTTTTTTTCAAGTTTTGAAAGTTATTTATCTGATTACTAGGCAAATTCATTCCACGCTTGCGATACCTTATTTTTTTCCATCAATAAATCTTTATGAGATTAAATGAACTCTCAAGAAATATGATCTAATTGTATATTAATCAGTACTAAGACTGTTGTATCCGATTTTCAACTCATGGCAGGATAGTATTGAGAAAATCTAATTACGGAGTTGTCGACGAAAAATTTTTCGATAAATATATATCTAGTGTCCATTAGAGTTACCCGAAGTTTTCAATAACTGACGAATTTAAGTAGTTCTAAATTTGAAATATCGGAAAAAACACAATAATTTCCGTTGGAAATTTCTTCAAGTCGTAATCCTTCAACTATATGCATATTTCATGGTGCTGCATAGAGAAAGGAAACAGGCGAAAACAGTATTATTGAATTATCGTAGAAGAACAGTTCACAATATTCTCCAAGGTCTGTTTACGAATGTCGATGATGACAAATATGAGGAGATGCTGCTTATGATCGACTAAAAATAGCTTTAGCAATAAACTATGTTCGTAGTGCTTGATAAATAGAAACGGAATAAATTTACATTTCATTTCGTGCATTGATACACTAAAAAAAAAGTAGTGAACAATAAGCTCCCACTATCTGTTTATTACCATTACATAAAACATTTTTTTAAGTTTATGAGCGTAATCTATCCTTTTATAAAACTTTTTTGTTCATAAACCCAAACAGTGTTTATGCATTGCTAATAAACGAATAGCAAAGATTTATTATTCTACACAAAATTTTAGTATACGAACGATTTAAAATCGATCCTTCTGTAGCACGTGTCACTCTTGCACATGACTCCATCACTAAAAAACATTATGTTGCAAAGAGTAATGAATCGCAAGCGAACAGAGAGAAGAATATCATCGTCACTAACCCATGCGTCACTTGTTCTTTCTTCCTTGTGGGTCTCATATTTCGTTTCACATAATTTAGTTTTATAAATAGTAGAAACTTTTGCAGTGGCAGAACGAGCGACAGAACGATTAAATCTGAATCATTGATATTCATGTGCACTTTATAGTGTAATTTGATTTTATCTCCAATGATTATTTACCGCCCTCGTTAATTACTATCGTAGATGGCCGTCGTTATTGGTCGTAAATGAGGATAACTTACTCAGATTTCTTATTTTTTAGATTTATTGGATACTTTTGAAGTTCCAAAATATGTTTTTTTTTCTATATCATAGGTAATAATAGCATGATGTCTTTTTTAGGATTTATCTAAATACATCTAATTATAAATGAATTCATCGTTGAATTAATTTTTTTCCAATTGATTTATTTTTAAAACATTATTCTATCACACGGGTGTCATGAGTAAGAAGATCGACTGAGCTGCGGCCAATGCGACACTAAAAATAAGTATTTTGATTTTTGACAACCTCTCACATTCAAAATCACTTTTTAGAGATATTTTTCTTCTAAATAAGTATTCTATTATCATTTTCTCTAGTTTTTCATTTTGGAAATTTCTCGAGACTAAGAAAATTTTTAAAAAAGCGAGCGAAACTTTGCAGCCACCTCTGTCAATGAATGCAACAGATTACATCTTTACTTACATCTAAGGTTTGAATTCTTATTCGGCTAACTCCATCCGCTTTCTTATACAAAATTGTGGTCACTAGCAATATTTTAGTAGAAAACTCGGCCAAATAAACGCAATGTCATTCGCTGCAAAAAAAAAGTCAATTTACACAAAATCAGCTTTGAAAATGAATATGTTAGCATAATTATTTCTTACTCTGGACATTCATTTAAAGATTGGTTGCAAGTTGTATCACAATTCCATAATATCCCATCGGTATGTTGACAAAGGATCTAGCATATTGTTTATTATTGATATTAACATTAATTCGCTAATCTATGGTGACTTTGATGTTAAATTCATTTTGTAAATCTCGAACTTTTCATAATTATTCGTCTTGTTACAAGTTCATCAAAATGTGACTTTAAAAACAGTTAGACGTCTGATTCGACGATCATTGTCTCTATACTGATCTATGCTTTACAATATCATGTAAACATCAAATTTCCATCGTAGTATATATTGTATTATTGCAAAATAGTATGAAACAATGAATATGCTTCATATTGTGCTCAGATACTTTCATTTTGAATATTTTTCTCTGTACTATGTATTCAAAATGTGCCAAGGTCCTCTCTAAAAAAAACTATCTAAAATATAATATGATTCAATATTTACTAATATGAGTAACGCAACAAAACACAAAAACGTTTCAAGTCTTGTTTAGTTTTGTGTTTACCACGTACGTTGAAATTTCTGTGACAATCAATATTCTTGCGTATAATCCAACTAATCAGAGTGCTTTGTGTTTGCAAGGTGAAAATTCAACGTGAAATCTCAAGAAACTGATTAGTGATTCGTTTCCAATACTTATTGCAATTCTTCATATCACAATTACAGAGTCTATCAACAGTTTAGACTATATGATCTCCTTCGCAAAGACAACATATGAGAGACTGCTATTTTTCTTTACTGAAATATCTAAAAAAGAATAAGAGTTGGTTTGATATTTTAAATTAGTCACATTCATGTGAAAATCATTTAGATATGCCAGATGTGTAGAACATAATCAGCGTTTCAATCTATTCGGAGAAACGTGATCGCATGAATAATGATTAAAGATGATGGACTCATGCTATTGATATAATTTACGAATTATCGATCCAACATGTCTAGATAGATCTCAACAATTGCATAGAGATACTTCAATAATGAAGAAAGCATTTGAAAACAAAATTCATCGTCTTATCAAATAATCGTTGCAAACTATAGTGCAGCAACACCACCATAAGTGGCTAAAACAAACACATGATTTTTGTTCCGACCAACAGCTAAGTGTACATGAGACAAATATGTATAATCGAGAAATGAAAATTGATCAATTTTGACTTCTGGATACGAACATTGACAGGATGCATGATTAAATCCTTGTGTTGCCTGTGCCAATTTTTCGATATTGACACGATACCATGTAATAGGATTTTCTCGTGCCACTGAACGTTGAAGAGTTCTAATACAATTGTATAAAAGCGAATCACGGTCAGTAGTATTCAGTTTCCCATCTGGCAGTTGTTCAACAGTTAAACGATGCGTATCAAAATCGAATATCAAGTGATTGTAGCAGACAATCAAATCCTTGACTTCGTCCATACTTGGACGACTACCTAATGAACAGCTACAAATTTTATCAATGACATGGTCTTTCGCTAATAAAATTCGTAAGAGACTTGTACCCGAGTTTTGCTGTGTCTGTTTTAATAAGTTTTCACAATAGCCCATCATGTCATCTTTTGAACATGCTGTCATATCCATCCAAGTGTAAATGTCATCTTCGATAGCCGAATATTGATCTACCAACCGATTCTCTCGATCGTACAAAGCATGATTTCTCTGATAAGTTAAGATGTCAGATTTATCTAACTCATCACTTGCATAAGAATCACTTCTTTCAGAATTTGACGAATCAGAGATATGCATTTCGAAATGAAACCGTGATAAAAAATCTTGTCCAATAAATTGAGATTGATGACGGTTGGTCATATAGGTACGATCAACACTATAATCTAAGTCAATATTTGGTTGTCGTTTTAACTCGTTCTTTTGTGCCACTCGATAGATCGAACCATAACAATTACGATTATAAAATGCATCTGCCAATATTTTCTCCATCTTGACTTCACTTACTTCCTGTGTATTTCTGTTATATCGAATAGTGTACGTGGTTGAATCGTCACGATGTCCCAACAGGAAGAATGCATAGACGGCGGCTACGCGACAACATCCTTCGAGATGCTTATAGAAAAAGTCGCTATCAGAAAATCGAAATAGAGTTCGACTACCATACTTAGTATGAATGGTTGGAATGAATTTTTGGCGGCAGTTATCCGCTTCGAAATTTTTCATCTCTTGAGCATCCCAAGTAATTTTCAATAGTTGAAATTGTGGAAATGCAAATATTAGATGTTGCACATCTTGTTCATGCAAATATTTGAAAATGTGAAGCCATATCTCAGAAGGAAACTTGTCAATCAATGGTTTTTCGTCATCTTGATAGATAATCTGTGCTTTTAATTTGAGCTCGAGTAGTCGCGGATAACTATATCGAATCGATAATGAACGTTCGTATAACTCACCAATTTCACTTGTTTTAACGAACTCACCAAAATTTTTATATAGTTTCAATTCATTTTGTTGAGCTTCACGAAAAAAATTCAGACAAGCTAGATAATCTTCTTGTTCTTCTGGACAAATAGCAAATCCGAGTGGTTTTCCTATTCGTTGTACGAGTACGTCAGTTCTTAAAACTATCCGTTCTGTCACATTGAGAGAATTCTCCATATGCGGTGCCATGGCTGCGTGTAATAGATTATGGGTAAAAAGAACAGCGTAACCTTTCTTTGGTTTAATTGTCACGCATTCATATCCATTTTCCAATCCACTGTAAGCTTGAATTTCTTCCTCAATTGTTAATCCTTTTGTATTGAATTTCGGTGCTGCTTTGGGAAAATAAAATTTTGTCTCACCTTTTTCATAATTGTCATTCAAATATATCACTAAACTCAATAATGATCGTTCATCACCATTTGGAGCATACTGTGCATCTTTATGAGGTGAAAAATATTCATCATGACGGTATTTATTTAATCGCATGGCTTCATTCACACCACTCATCTCCCAATCGCCTTGTACATTGAATCCTAATGGTTTCCTATTAGAAACTAATTGAGTTATTTTGTTACTAAATTTTAGACGTCGCCAAAGTGTTCGAGCAAATTGATGATCCATGATTATTAATCGCGAATTATTACGTTTTTGAACATCATATTTATCAAACATATGTTCGAATTTTTCTTGACTAGTATTAACCAGAATTTCATCGCATTCGTGACTGCTCAATAAATTACCCAATTCAATTAAAAGTAAATCATCCTGCTGTTTCACTCGGTTCAATACGATACCATCGATTAGTTTTGTGGGTATCGAATAATTATTTAAAAGTGAGGTGACAGTATTCCAATCTGTAGTTCCCAAAAATTGGTTTCTATACATTTTGAAAATAATGCTCGACCGGGCTTCGTTGTTGTTTGTTTTTACTTTCTTTTTGTCAACTATTCTCTACGAATCATAACTCGACTTCCTATTGTTTCATATAGAATTCTGTTGTAATTACTCAATATCGATGCAACACAGCTGTAATTGCTCAACATCTATGACATTCGATTATTTATTTTTTCTGAAACAAAACATACTATTATGAATCTCTTGTGAGGAGCATTTTGAGGACTATTAATGTTTTAGTTTCTTTTTTGAATGTTCATTAATTGTCACAATAGTATGAAATATAGGCTGTGGAACTCGGGTCCAACACTAAATATGCATTATGGTCATTTTTTATTCAAATGATGAATATAGCTGTTGAATTAAAACGTAACACTTGTTATTTACTTGCAATAAAGCTTTTTTTCTTATTTTGATTAGAGTCGTATAACTGTATTTCAGAGAGACCGAGAAACGATTTTCAAGATAAAATTATAGCTGAAGTTAAGATCGACAATGTTCATAAGTCAGTACTGAACCCAAGACTGAGACTTTCATGTTCGTTAAGCCTGACGCATAGGTTTTTTATATCTCATGTATTCTGATGCAGAAACTTGAGATACTCAAGTTCATCATCACCATTGAAGAACTATGTATATGGACGATTTTGGATGGGACTCAAAGTAGTTGCTATTGACAGTGTAATAAAAAAAAAGTAATATCAAATGTCCAAATATTCCTTGTAACCAATTACCGTGGATGGCAGCAGTGTGCATTCTAGCTCATAGGGCGACTAAACGTGATATCGGAATCTTTGATAAATGAATAGTGTTATATGTTATATAGTGACGTGTTCTTTTGCCAATTCTGTCACCAGAGCATGATGATGTTTACGTTTAGGAAAAGCGTCATACAATCAGTTAAAGTCCTTACGAACGTATGATGTCGTTCGCGTCTTCATGAGAACTCACAGGTACTGAGCAATGTAAAACAAATCCTAGCACATCGTTCATAGTACAGTCTAGCTAATTGAATATTTGATGTTATGCCACCATTTGTTTTTTATGTATCTTATCACTATCTTTTCTAACACAAGTACCAGTTCAAATCTGATCATCAATACGAACAGTCATCTCTTTAATCAAGAACATCTTCAGCTCATTTAAGCAAAAATAATGATGGCAATATTCTATCGTCTGGATTGTATTTCTAAGCTATAGATATGAGTTAATTTCTCTATGCAAATAAGCTGATCAGAAATGATGGCCATAGCAAAAAATTTATTGATCTGTATGAAGTCAAACTCGGAAAAAAAAATCAGCAAGAGCTCCACTCATTTTGACATTTTGGATGTCTTTCAACTTTCGTATCACATGTTGTGTTCGAGATAGTCTCGACTGATTCTCTCTTTATGTTAGTTTTTCTATTTGTTTAACTTCGTCATTGCTCTTCTCTCCTTACGAACTATATACAAAAGTCATGAGTGAGACGAATGCCCATCTATTACTCATTCATGAGACAGGTGCATAATAATATTTTTTTTATTGACGAAAAAGTGAAAATAAAGAGCCTATACTTGATGACATCATGTTAGCCAGCTCTTCCAACGAAGATCGAAGTTCAATTTCCACAGAGCGAGGAGGAATAAACTGAACATTGCTAACAGTAAAAAATACTCCAGGTAATAAAAGTACTTCCTCTTCTTGAGGAATCATGGAAAAGTCTCTTACATTTAGCGCATATAATGCGCTATACGACTCTATTTTGTATGTGAACATTGCAGATAACATTTCCGATGATGGATTTCCAACATAATCTATAAAACTTTGAGCTACAGTACGAAGTTTTGATGTGGATGTAATTGCCTTATTGCATACGAATTGTGTGTCTTCCACGTAACACTTTAATTCGTCTAGTGTAATCCACATACCTCGATATGTCGATCCCTGAAATCGAATGCTCGAATTCGGTGTTGCCAGGAGCATGTAGAGTGGTCGTAAAAATAATTTGGCCCAATTCGACTCATTACTATTTTGAATCGGTAATGGTTGTCCTTCTTGGAACGCTTGAGCACGAGAGACCATTTGGTCCATTTGTTGAAAAAAGGTTCCCATAAGGAGTTGCATTTGTTCCTCGGCGTCCAGGTCTTTTGTACTTGTTAGATCTTGCTGAGCCAATTTTCGATTGAGTATTTTGTAGAACTCACTTTCAGCAGTATAGGCTCGAATGAAATATGAAGCATCATTTGTTTTCACTGCTTGTTCAAGCAACAACCAAATATCTTGGTTAAGTATTTGAAGATCCTGTGATTTTCTCATAGCATTGACAGCTTCTTGAATAGCCATCGGGCCAATAGAAAGAAGTTCTTGCTGAATCATCATACAATACTGTTGAGCATCTAAATCTTGAAGTATCCATTGTATTTCTTCGCTATTCAGATTTGCACTGAGACGAGGATTGAGAAATATATTTAGCTGATCGTTCAACGTTGCTAATGTTGTTTTTGATTGAACTAGACATGTTATTGGATGTTTCTGTGGATCTTGATTATTAGGTAAAGTCGTATCATTGAATGCTAAACGATCATTGTCAATCTTTTCACTGTCGACTGTTGTATTTACACTTGCATCAGTCTTTTGAGTCTCATCGGTTTGGGTCGATACTTCGATAAATTGCTTAACTTGACCTACTTCACTTGTCTGCCCAGAGGCAGTAAGTGATTTGGATGACGCAGGAATTGCTGCGAGTGACGCTGTAGCGTTTGGCTGAGTAACTATCGCAGGGTGTATACTAGAAGAACAGCCCATATTTCATGTATTAAATTGATCAACTAGCAGTAGTAGATAGGAATAATATTAGGGATTATATGTCGACAATCAAAATCTACTGTAATAGATTTTCATCCAAGTTGTCAATTGAATGTCATCGGACAGTCGACGAAGCTTAATGAAAATAAATCGCTGCTATAGTTCAAAATATTGAATAGTATTCATAATGCAAAAAAAAAATAATGCCATAACTGACATATTACATCGCGCAGTATCATATTCAAGTTGATTAGGCACTTCAGTACTGGTATTACGAATTTATGAGTGTGGATATAGCTCAAAGAAAGTTCGTGGATTATCCACATCTACACCCACATGTTTCAGAGCAAGAAAAAAAGAGTACACATTTGTCTGTTTAAAAACTGAAATTGGTGAAATGGATTGATGTTAGATCGAATAATCGAGTGGGTACTTACATGTTATGCACATACTACGCACTTATAATCAAAAGGAAACAGGCAAGGTAACTTTTGAAGGTCTTAATAAGATTCATTAAAAAAAGAACAAAAGAATGAATGAAACCTTTTTTCTTGAAAATTCATTGCATGCTCTCTAAATTCTAGTAAATATATTCTTGTCTTAATATCTCCACCTTTAGGTAAGATAAACCATAGTAGCAGCATTTTCCTCTTCCTCTATAAGACTCTGCCATTCATTTTGCGCTTTCACACACACAAAAAAGCGTGAATACATAAAACTAGGGGTGGTGGCTTAGCATTAGTGTTAAGAAAATTCTAATACTTTGGTATTAAAATAAATAATTCATTTAATACTCTTGCATTAGTGTTAAAAAAATAATATAATGCTTTGGTATTAGTGTTAATTTTGTATTAAGAAAATGCTAATACCTATCCCTATTATACAGCTTGTTCATAAAACTGTCATTCTAGTTTTACCAGCGGCTTGTCTTTAGTTGGATTTGCTTTGTAACATTTTTATACAGAGGGAATGTCACATATGCATTAAGATGACATACATGTACATCTATAGTTCTTCAGAAAGCATAAATAATTTTATTAGATATCGCTATTGTAAAAGGAAAACTCAACATAAGAGTAAGGACGAGAAGTTACCGTTACTGTTCCCGGGTAATTAGTAAAGGGGTAACGGGCATAAAATAGGGGATACCTTTGGGTCCTCAAGGGCTACTATTGGGGGTACCCTTGGATCCTCAAGGGCTACTATTATGGGATATCCTTGAGTGCTCTAGGACTACTATTGAGGGTATCCTTAAGTGCTCTAGGGCTACTATAGGGATACCCTAGGGCCCTCAAGGGCTACCATTGGAGAGTACCCTTAGGTCCTCAAGGGCTACTATGGGGGAGTACCTTTAGATCCCGAAGACCTACTATAGGGAAGGTACCCTTGCATCCCCAATGGCAAATGTATAGATTCTATTTTGCCGTGGTGTACTGGGTTGGGACTCATAAATATACTCATCAATCGAGAGAGCATCCTGAATAACCCTATGATTCGCCCCAACATACCGACCCCTTGCCCTTACAGTAAGCGAGAACAGCCCTCCTGAAATCTGATTGGTACTTTTTTTCCACCAATTGAATGGCGAGCTTCTATTATTCTCTGACAAGATTGTTAAAGATCCATACATATACCCATCAATCAACAGAGCATCCTCGATAACCCTATATTTCGCTCGAAGATGCCCATCGCCTGCTCTTACCATAACAGAGAAAAGTCCTCTCGAAATCTGATTGGTCCATTTTTTTCAGCCAATTAAATCGCGAGTTTGTACTTCTGAGTGTTGGGATGAATGGAAACCCGTACATATACCCATGAATGGATAGAGCATCCTCGATAACCCTATGTTTCGTCCGAAGATGCGCATCGCCTGCCCTTATAATAAGCAAAAAAAGGCCTCCTGAAATTTGATTGGCCTAATTTTTCCATCAATGAAATAGCAAGCTTCTATTTCTCTGTGATTCGACTTATGGGGACCTATACATATACCCATTAATTGATAGAGCATTCTCGATAACCGTAGGATCAGCATGAACATGCCTATGTATTGTTCTAATAGTAAGAGTGGAAGATCGTCCTGAAAGCTTCGCTGAAATCCGGCCGCTTCTGGTCACCGTTATGCTCGACCTGAGTAGCACTTCGTGTTCGAATTTGGTAGCAGGTCATCACGTTAAGGAATGAAATAGTCCCAATTCATGGAAGAAGGTTGATGCGCAAGAGTATTTTGGGACCCAAGGAATTCCTGCACATGAGGATTTCCGGAGGCACCAGTACAGCTAAGATGAAAATTTGAGTTTCCACGGTACCTTCCAGTAGTAAGACTCGGGGCTCAAGTATACTTCGCAGTAGTAAGACTTGAGGACCCTAGGTTACCCCCTATAGTAGCCCTTGAGGGCCCCAGAGAACCTCCTACAGCAGACATTGAGGATCCAAGGGCACTCCCCTATAGTAGCCCTTGAGGGCCCCAGAGAACCTCCTACAGTAGACCTTGAGGATCCAAGGGCACTCCCCTATAGTAGTCCTTGAGGACCTAAGGGTACTCTCCAATGGTAGCCCTTGAGGACCCTAGGGTATCCCTATAGTAGCCCTAGAGCACTTAAGGATACCCTCAATAGTAGTCCTAGAGCACTCAAGGATATCCCCTAATAGTAGCCCTTGAGGATCCAAGGGTACCCCCAATAGTAGCCCTTGAGGACCCAAAGGTATCCCCTATTTTATGCCCGTTACCCCTTTACTAATTACCCGGGAACAGTAACGGTAACTTCTCATCCTTACTCTTATGTTGAGTTTTCCTTTTACAATAGCGATATCTAATAAAATTATTTATGCTTTCTGAAGAACTATAGATGTACATGTATGTCATCTTAATGCATATGTGACATTCCCTCTGTATAAAAATGTTACAAAGCAAATCCAACTAAAGACAAGCCGCTGGTAAAACTAGAATGACAGTTTTATGAACAAGCTGTATAATAGGGATAGGTATTAGCATTTTCTTAATACAAAATTAACACTAATACCAAAGCATTATATTATTTTTTTAACACTAATGCCAAAGCATTAAGTTAATTTTTTCATTCTAATACAAAAGCATTAAAATTAGTATTATTTAATGCAATGCTAATGCTAAGCCACCACCCCTACATAAAACAGAAATTTGGCAATGGTTGCTACCTTATTTTATTTTACTGTTCTGCGGTGATAAAAGAAAAAAGAATTGATTGCTACAGTTCATCAACAACGGTCGTAAGCATTGTGAGAGATTTTGTAACTCTCAGTGTGTATGATCCGGTTTCTTCAACTTTTGTTTTTTCAAAAGAAAAAAGGAGACTTTTCTTGTTTTAAAGTAAGAGAATGTTGCTTTTACTTCAGTTTTGATTGAACTAAGCATCTTAGCATGTGTCACACTGTTACACAATTAATAGATTTTATTCATATTTTTTACGATCATTCTTTGTCCATTTGAAGCTGGAGTTTATTAAAGTAAGAACACTTTTGTATTCTTTTTTATTCCAATCAGTGAAAAAATGCATGTTTAATATTTCTAATCATTGCTTAAAATTCTTTTTTCTAAACTTCTGTCTTCAGAGAAAGGAGATACTGCTGTCATCTCCCCTTCCATTGTATTTTTCTATGTTGGATCGAAATTCTATCTCTAGAACACACACGCTATCGTCTCTTAAACTCAGAATAGAGACTGGATAAAAACTTACCTTGTGTTATAAAAAAAAAGCTTTTCGTTTGCGAAAAATTCTGCTTGGCCTTGTTTCTTTTTTTCACTGAGTTCTATGGCTTCGCAACAAAACGACAGTAAAAGTTAATAAAAGAAAGTGAGTTTCTTTCAATGTATTGTCGAGAAACGTCAACAGAGTAGGTGTATTTGTTTTTTTCGCAGCTTTCTTTTCATCTTTATCGAACCAACAATCATCGTTTTCAACTGCACATGCATACATCAACGAAGTTCGTTGATGACAATTATTACAAAGTCTTGCATTCTTCTGTTTGTCCTTCGTGAGAGTGGGTTCGATGTGGGTTTCTGTATGTTGATAAATATTGATGTAGATATGTGTGTTAGTTGTTGGGCATTCTAAAAAACAGAAGTATAGAATAATAAACCATACCAAAGGGTTTATTAGTCGCATAACCTTGCATCAAAGTTTCACGAACCATTTCGCAATAGAGGCCATTTTGATACACTGTTTAGAGTTTAGGGTGTGGGTGTGGGTGTGAAAGAGCGAGTAGCACTATAATTGAGTACAGTACATACATGAACCATTCGCATAGGAGCCGTCAAATTTCTGTCACTTGCTAAACATAGCTAGATGGAACTGCCGATCGAAGATCACAAGCAGGACCTAAATAACAAACAAGAGTCACATTGCATGTGTCCTAAATGCTTGATTGTCTGTGATTGAATATAACTCGAGGAAGAGCATTCCAATTTTAGTTAATGCTTTGTCAATACAGCTAACACAAACACATTTATAATATGTTTAATTATTACTTTACTCAAGTGCAATAAATGTAGAATGAACCTATTCTCTAGAGCCCGTATTATCTAACCTCAGGCACGGAAAAAAACCGCACCGACTGTGTTTCTCTCACGGTTCAAATTTCATCAAGAACGTAAAAACTTTCAGCTTGTTCATCAGTTGGACTCCGAAATTGAACGAGATCAGTCTCATTGATGGTTATGTATAGATTATAACTTGAAAAAATACAACAGTAATTTAAACTTTCTTTTTGTTAGACCTGATAGATGGATACACAGCAAAGTCGAACATTATGATAGAGTGGAGAGTAAGTATAAATAATAAGAAGTGTTCGAATCGTTGAAGATTCTTGACCGTTTTACTTCGATTATACAATCACTTTATTTCTCCTGAACCCACGCGTACACTGAAACAGGCTTATAAAAGACATCTGTAAATATATGCTTTAAAACATAAGAAATCTATCTGTAAACTATTTCTTTTTAATCTAGTCTCAAAAGTTATGTTATCCGATATACTCTCGTATTTTTTACAATCAAAAAGAGCTGATATTTTAGATTTAAAAGTTTCTGATGATAGTCTGCCACTTGAGATAGTTAGATCGAAAAAAAAGCAATTGTGACGGTGGCCGATTTTATACAAATTTCTAAAGGTTCTGGTGGGTCTCTCTTGTTAGCGCTACGAAATAATTTCCTTTATAAACTGCGTTTATAATTGTAGGCGTGAAATAAAAGCAATTTTTCAGTCTACTAAACAAAAGTATTAGGTAGTGCATAGCATTAGTAGTAAAAGTAAAATGAACGTTGATTTTAATTCTACAAAAAAAAACAACCGAAGTATAATGATCAAAGGTCAAGAGATCATTCAAATTTTATAAATAACTCATTTTATGTAGGAAAATGCCATAGTGTTAGCGACTTGTGTAACGTATCAATAACAAAATCAAGAGTATTTTCTTTGTGATTGGCTCTGTAGGAATTTTGTACTGAGAATAAACTACTATAAAATTCTATTTGTTTTTATCAATTGCAATAAAACATCAGCAAATAGCTTGTAGTTGTATAAAACAAAGATCCCAAAGCTCAGTTTCATCTAAATAAAACACATTATTGGTTGATTTTACGTTAAAAGAAGATAGTATCCATAATTTACATATCATAAGCAACTCTATAGGTTATTGATAAACAATTTCTACATTTGAAAATTTCACAAAAAACTAAATCTTGCATTCACAATTAATCAATAAAACACTTGTTTGATATAATATCAAATGTAAAATTATGAAAAATTATTTTCAAAGATTGAAAAAGTTATTATTAAACATATTATTTACACACTATATTAGAAAGATACTCATTTTAAATTGATGGTCTAAAATGAAAGACAAGTTTTTCAATTGTTTCTGTACTATGTTTATACTTTTCGATTGCTAATTTCAATTCTTCTAAGCTTTGTTTTAGTTCAGGATCTTTATAATTATATGTAACAATATTCAAACCAGGAAAATTAAATAATAATAATTCTTTCAAACTTACTAATAAATCAGCAGTTGGAGCATAAGTACCAGATCTGTTATCAAATACTAATTCCCATTCATCATCTAATCGATTCCATCCAAATTTTGGACGTGAATGAAATTCACCTGCATAACAAACATACTCCGAAGAATTCGCTAATAAAGCATGTTTACTAGCAAAATCTGTAAAAAATTGATTTCCTGTTTCACTATATCTCCATGTATTATCATCAATAATATATGTACAAATGCATGGTTTAATTGTTTTTGTTGTTTTATCAAAAAACAAAAGCTTCCAAAGATCATCAGCACTGTTCAATCGACCATGATCATTATTTTTTAATGTTTTTCTATAGAGTGTTCTATGCGCTAATTTAATTCCACCTTGTATTACTATTGAAAGTGGATAATTACCAAAGATAGTTACTGCTGATTGATAGTGCTTATTCCAATGTTGTCTTTCATTAGTTGAAAAAAGATATGAAATTCTTCTCATTTGTATTTTCCATGTTGGATAAATACAATCAGCATTGAGCATAGTAAAACGACCAATAGCGAGAGAATCATGACGAGAATATCGACATGAACCATCGTATGTGTATAGAGGAAGTTGTTTCGTCTCTTCATATGTCTTTGTCACTTGAATAGATAAATGAAAACGACCATTACATTGATTAAATGTGCCAATAATTTTATTTTATGACCTTTTGAAGGAGGATAATAATGAATAAAATCAGATATTACAAATCGACCGATATAATCATCAGCAAGTTTTTCATCGTCTTTATCATAGATTTTAACAATAAGTTTAGCTGTAGATGGAATATTTCGAACAATCCATTCTTCATCCTTCCATATAGGTTTTGATGTATTTGAAAGTATAGTTGATCTATAGTTTGTAATTATATATAAATCATATATTTAATTTACAAAAAAAAATGAGAGAAGAGAGTCATTTCAATATTTCTATCTGTGTTAGATTTTGTATTAATTATAGAAATAGATAATGAGGCATCTCTACTCTCCAATTGAGAATGAAAATTGTTAAATACTTACGTATATAAAATTTGATGATCAATATTTGCTATAAAATATGGATCACAGTGTCCAACTAAGTCTGTTTTTGGTAAATTCTTAAAAAGAAAAAAAGAAACGAATAATTTCATGTACATATTGAACAGAATTATTCTGAAACCTTTGCTGAATAAAATTTAATAATAACATCATAGTTATGAAGACGACTACGATCAGATAAGTTTTTTTTTTTGAAGATGTGTGTTTTTAAGACCAGAAATTATGAAATGTGAAGCCATTATTGATTATCAATAGTATGAAAAGGAACATATTTGATAGACAATTTTGAGTATAAAGCATATATATGTGCATAGGCGTTTTTTTCTCTTTCGTTAGGCTTTTTGATAAATTTGTGTTTATTTTTAGCCATCATTCTGTTAATTTATCTTATCGTTGTTTGTCAAGCATTTGATGACGAAAATTACTGAGATAAAATCATGCATTCAATGTTAGTTATTCATCGCCAACTGTATGCTTGTCTTCTCTTTCCTACACAATACTCATCTGTATTCTTTTTTGTACAGCTCACTTGAATATTATTGATTGAATCACCACCATCACATCATAATGATGTAGGAATGAAAAAAAAACGTATTTTAGCGAATTGATGAAGATTGTCATTTGGACATTTGTTTATATTATCGGTATAATAATGTAATATTAAATCATGTTCATCAATCAATATTGGTGAGAAATATTAAGTAAACCACCAATCATATTGATATTCATGTCTTTGAAAATAATTCAAGTTAGATTAGCTTTAAATGATAATGAATCAATAACAATCCAACTAAAAATAACATACGAGTATGAGTCATACATACTTTGATACAACGTGCTCGGTATATTGCCTTGTTGAAAAGTTTCTGGCTTTGATCTTTATTTACAATTAATAACAAAGTGATGCTATCGTAGTATTGTTCTCTGAATGAAATCCATACAATCGTCTATCTATAAATATCCTGAAAATATAGTAATGCTTTTTACATTGACTCATATACAATTGATAGAAAATTGCAATATATTTGACAATCATTTAATAATAAAACTTTTTCTTTTGAATAAATAATTTATCCGCTTAACATACAGATATTGAAATATTGATGATGATTTCTGATATTCAAGATTTGACAATGTCAAACAAAAATCTTGCTTTCATGCATTTGAAATTTAATGAATTCGATATTACACTTGAACTTCTACAGAAATGTGCTCAAAATACTACTAAAATCAGTTCTATCCACACATTGGTTTGACTAATCATAAAAATTGAAAGAATTCATTTATTGTTTCGTATTTCTTTTTGATGCATATGATAAGAAATAATTGAAAGGTAATGATCATTAAATGAAAAGTTTGAGGTTATCGAGTTGACTAATGCAACAACAATAAAAACCAAAGAACTAAATATTGCTATTATAAGCGCTCAAGAAAAGGAGATTGAATACACTTCTTTTTTGTATTCACTGCGCAAGGTCGACATTTGATTTAATCCTTTAACTTCGACACTACTCCAACGAGAAATAACAAAAAAAGCTTTACTAAACAAATTAATCATGTACATAATATATAAAAAAAACGATATCATGCAGTCTATCTCCATTCAAATAAAAATCTGATGAAAAGCAAAGCAAAAAACAAAATCACACAATATTTCTTATCATTCAAATCATATTGCATATTAAAATTAGAAATAGATTTGGAATCATTGTTCGATGAATTCCTACTTAGTTGATTCACTTTTTGTCAATAAATTCAATTTCGGCAATCGCTTTCATGGTTTTGACTGAGACCATGATTGATAAACTCTGTTATATTTTCTTAATCTTGCTCAAATATTACTTCGTTGATTATCACTAAAAAATGTATCAAAAGCTGATTGATAGGATTTGGAGGCGTTGAAAGTTGCAATTTTAATTTGAGTGAACTTGATAATCTATTTCGTATAGTATTGCCGATGAAAAACAAGAGGTCGGCTAATTGATCGATTCTTTCTGACTTGATAAACATCAATGGTTTGTTCGATGCCATTGAAGTCCTGCATCTGAAATGAACGTCTTTTGATTCATTCGTTAAACTACATTCTGCACTTGGCAATTTCACTATAATCACAAGCAATATGCTGTCCAAATCGACATAGTCTCTTAGAAATGAAAAATAGATCATTTCTAATCATTAATTATTTATTATTCAGCAGTTTTATATAGGATCAGTTGATTATCGAAGTTTCACTTTATGATAATATTGACAATTCTATTCAATCTCAGCTAGAAGCCTGTCTTGATCAAATACTTCGTCTGTATTCATTGAAATTTTGCTCGTGATCAAAGAATCGAGTTCTAGCTTTTAATTAATTTGAATAGATTGACCATAGAGAGAAAAGAATTCATTCGATGCATTGTAACAGAAATCGAAATAGATTTAGACCCGGCTTTAAAGAAACATTTCAAAAGTGAAACTTTAATTTATCTTATTCAATAAGTTCAAACTTAAAATTATGCAAAATATTTCACTGTATTTGTTCTTTCTTACAACAATAGATGGCGTTTTATTCAAATAAAAAATAAAACAAAATTGAATAATTTTTTTATAATTTTTCATAAAAATAATTTTTTTAAAATTTTCCTATATCCAAAAAAAAAGAAAACATCTTCATGAAAGGACTGATATTCGAAAATGAGCGGGTATGATATAAAAATGAATCAACAAACAAACATTGGCTTGATTTAAAAAAAAAAAACATGAATTGGACTCATCATCGTCCGTTGCGAAATCAATTAATTTATGGTCGGGTAAGTTGTTTTGATTTTTTTTAAAGATCTTTAGATTAAATAAAAATTTCTTTCAAGGGTATGAATAAAATGTCAATGAATCGTCCATTAACATTTCGAGAACATTTCCATGTTCCAAAACAAATATCTGATAAACAACCTATCGATGCAGTACGTCTTCAATTGGCTGATGATGATTATACTAATAATCGTTCTCATCATCCATGTCCAGTTCATCGTCGAGAAGATTATAATTCTCATCGAAATCATCCATATATAAGAACATTTTCTGATCATAATTCATCTTTACGACGAACGCATTCATCTATTCATTCGATTTCAACAATTGAAACTGATTTTGTTCATCAGTAGATTGAAATTTTCTTTTCTTTTTTTTTTTTGAATTTCAATTTAAAAAAAAAACTTTTTTCTAGACGAGTATCAACAATTCATACATATCCATCATCACCTTCGATTGTAGAACGTCAACAAATTATTGATCAAGATAATTCGAATGAACCAATTTTAATTGAAAATATTCAAATAAATAATAATGAAAATGATGTGAATCAGCCTACAAATGTTCATATTGTTGAAGAACAACAACAAAACTCGAATCAATCTAATCAAGTAAATATTATAAACAAAAAATAGACAATAGTCTTTATTGTTTATATTAAGTGTCGTACATGTCTAATGCTTATTGAAATTGTTGATCAACAAACTCAACAAATTCGACAATATACAGAACAAATATCTCAACAAGCTGATTTACTTGCTAAATTAGCTCGACGTTTTGCAGGTATTGAAGAAGGAATCGATGATCAAAATTCAGATAATACAACAGAACAACAAACAATTAATCAACAAATAACAAATTGAACTTTTTTTTTGTGTCATTTTAATTTTTTTCTAGATTTTTATTTAATTCAATAGATTTTTGTTTTTATATGAAAATATTTATTTCAAATTAAATATATTAAAAATAAAGAAGAATTAGGGATAAATAAACCTATTTGATAACATGACAGATAACTATCATTAACTTTTAGTAGGCAAAAAAAATGGCTCAAACAGTTTTTTTTAATTTTGTATTTCGCTTGTTAAACAGTAGCATGACTAAGTATGGACAGTTATGAAAATAATATAATTAACAAGGATCAAAAAAAGTAATATACTATTGGATGTGTTAAAATTCAACATTGTTAGAAGAAAAAAACGAGTCTAAAAATGATACAAGAGAAAGTTATTACACATTTTAATCACCTCGCAAGTAAAAAAACAAACTGACTGAATAGAATCTAATGAAGTATAAAGACCTTTTTGAATTCTCTCTTAATATTAAGATAACTCTATATTTATTGTGATGATGAAGAAATCGTTGTGTGCCTCTCTGCATCTACTGATTTTGCTCACATTGGATAAATAAATAGATTATACATTAAGGTCCCAGTTCATTTTGAACACAATCCTTGTACTCATTCATGTGACTAAAACATTACACAGCACCATGTGAAGGTGAGGACTGTGTTTAAAGTAAACAAGTACCTTCTATTCAGTGAAATACGTCTGCTAAAATTATTTTAATATTACATTAATATTTTTTAATAATGCACTTGTTTACTGATGATAGCAGTTCAGTGAATAAAATTTTGATGGTGATTCAAATATAGTCTTCAATATTTAATTTCAATGTTTGCTCAGCTTGTGACATTTGAAAAATATTCAAAGAAGTCAAAATGGATGCAAAGCTTATGAAACATTTATATATATATATTACATACAGACAATAATTGTTTTCTAGCAATTGCTTATTGACTTAATACTCATCTAAACTATTTTTCCAGTAAACCAAGTCTACAAATAGAGTTATCTTCTCTAGCAATTTACTAATTTCAGCATTCTCATGTGTAAAAGCGTCTTAAATGAGTGGTGCTGAGTCTGAAGTAAAGAAGTGTCAACATGCCAAGGGGGAACAAGCGTACTTCTGTGCTTCAGAAGTACAGAAGTACCAAGAAGTACCAAGAAGTACCGAGAAGTACGAAGAAGTACCAAGAAGTACAGAGAAGTACAAAAGAAGTACCAAGAAGTATGAAGAAGTACCAAGAAGTACAGAGAAGTACCACGAAGTACAGAGAAGTACAAAAGAAGTACAGAGAAGTACGAAGAAGTACAGAAGTACGCTTGTTCCCTCTTGCCATTTTCAGAACAATGGCACGGCGAATTTTGAAAAGATATTTCACCAGGACAAAACAAACTATTACCTATGTTAATAGTCATACCAATAATGTAAATACTAATATGATAACTAGCATTACGATTGAGTTATTACAATTGTTTAAATAGAGAAATATTATTTATTTTGTCTTACTGGAATATATTTTCAAAATTCGTCATGTCATTGTTCTGAAAACGGTCGAATAAATAGCGCTGAAAATTTAACAAATCGTAAAAAATGAAGAAAAGACAAAACAAAAAAAATCTGTTTTATTAAAATTATCATTTTCATATACGTCTATATAATGAAAATTTAAACTGTTAAAGTTTAAAAATAAAAAAAATGACTCAATAGGTGATCTTATAATATTACATATTGTTACTTGTGGAACAGTTAGAATTTTGTCATTAAAAAAATCCATGTTTACTCTCATATTATTGTGCATCTGCTGCTGTTAAATTCTAGTGAAAAAAACCTTTTCAACATTCATGTAATTATTGTTTTTTAACGTATTTATGTACGCTGTTCTTCTTCTTTTTACTCGCCTTCATGTTATTAATTATAGATTGATTTAGCTTAAATATTTTACAGAAGAATGGCTAGATTATTTTTTATGAAGAAGTGTAGCACATTTCTACATCTAACAAATTATAATTTATTCTGTTTATTGTTTTATTTTCGTGTGCATTCTATATGATTTTATATTATTCATGAATTTGAAGTATTATTTAAGCATAACTAATAAAAATTAAAGTGATAACAACAGTATTCATATAAAGTAGCAATGGTGCAAATATAAAGATTGGTGTCGAGGTAGACGAAACTACGAAGGAATACGAAGAAGTACTGAGAAGTACGAAGAAGTATCGAGAAGTACAGAGAAGTACGAAGAAGTACAGAGAAGTACAAAAGAAGTACCAAGAAGTACAGAGAAGTACGAAGAAGTACAGAAGTACGCTTGTTCCCCCTTGCAACATGCATACATTTGAACACAATTTCTCATCACATATATTAACAAGGTTTCTATAAAAACAAACGATGGATGAACGATAATTGAGAATTCTATGACTCTCGAAACAGCAATTAATGATTTAGGCTATATTATTCTGTTAAGTGGGTTGAAAATTTCCATTCCGAAGAATGCATTCTCCTCTAACGACCATTCGTTTTAGCAATGTAGTGAGATGACTCATATATTTTGTTGTTTTTCGTTCCTCAAGGGTCATGGTTTTTTTTCTTTCTCTATCTATCATAAGTTTACCCCATAATATTATTCATGGCAAATAGTTGCACGAGTCTTGCGCAACTCATACTTTCATTTATAGCCTCACCTTTTATGCTTGCCATTTCAGCATACTATTTTTATTTGCTGTGCAGTATTTCTTTAACAATAACTTCTTTCATTACAATGGCAGCCGCTACTGAAAAATTTCAACCACTCTCTGTGCCAAGAGACTTGGAAGGTTTTGTGAAGAGTTTCATTCTTTCTAGTCACGACTGTCCGGAAGCTAATGAGGCGCGTAAGTTTTTCGAGCAGTTCGGCTTCGTAGTCATCGCAAATGTCTTCACACCAGAGCAATGTCAAGAGACGATCTCGGACATCTGGAATGTGATCGAGTCTTTTGTAGGACAACCTATACGTCACGATGAAAATCTTTGGAACTTACAGTAAATGTTCTTAGCTGATTTTTTATTGTTTACAATCTACTCTATTGTTTTAGGCTCTGGAGCAGAACAGGTCTAGTAGAGGAGGGTATCATTGGTGATGCCAGTCTCTGGACTCGGCAAATCTTGCTCAATCGACAAACACCAGCATTGCATACTGCTTTCGCAACTATTCTAGGAACGAAAAAACTTCTAGTTAATCAAGATCGCTATGGAATGTTTCGACCTACAAAGGAACATCCCAAGCGAGCAACAATGACCAATCTTCACTTGGACATGAATCCATGGAGATATTTCAAAGGTTTGCTTTGTTCTCTTTTGTATAGTTTAGGATAATTTCTGATCTTTACTCTAGATAAGGACAACTCGCATCAAATCGAAGTTCTCACTTCATTGAGCTATGAAGATGATGACGATTGGATTACGGAAAATAATGAACCTGGCTGTGACACAATCGGAGAGCGACACGTCCAGGGTCTAGTGAATCTCGCTGATAATCTGGAAGAAGATGGTGGTTTTTGGCTTGTCCCTGGCTTCCATCGCTATCTATCGCAATGGACGACCGAGCACCAAGCATGGTGCTCCAAATATGGTCTCTACTCGACGTTCAATGTCTTTCATGAGAACGATATTTCGGAGCTTTATGCCGCCGCTTGCCATATTTCTACTCGTGCCGGCTCAGCTATCCTATGGGATCAACGCACGATGCATGGATCACGAGCGAATCGTAGTCTTCGCCCTCGTTTTGCTCAATTCTTCAAAATGTTTCCTGCCGAACATCCTGCTATGACATCGGAACGAGTCGAAAATCGACGCAAGGGAGTTTTAGCCAAGCTTCAAGCTGCTAACATTGATCCAGAAGTAGATCTCACTCTCTTAGGACGCCAGCTATTTGGACTTACAAAGTGGTCTGATTGACAAATATACTGAAGTTAAGAAAAAGCGAAACAAACACGACTACATAATTATATTCGAAAGTTTCTTTAAACATAAAATTCAATAACTTAAAAAACGGATTAGATCCACGTTTACGTGTTATTAAATGATAGTCAAAAGAGGTTTCTTTTATACACTTGAATCAGTAAAAGTTGTGTCAGATTTCATGAAAAAATTTTCTAGTCGCTATGAACTTCATACGTCATTTGCAATCTTTGCACATCTATACTCACTGTTTGTTTTGTAACGTTCGATGCGCTCATACTCTGTCGTAAAGTTGGACATCTAATAAGATGAGTCGAAATCTTTCCAAAATTCCATATAAGTATTCTTTAGATACTCTCTAACTCGAAAAAGTTTTAAGTCTACTTCTCAGCTTCATGTTGAAAAGTCCTTCAAACAATTTTAAAAAGCAAACAAATAACGATTTGTTTAAGGAAGCTTTCTTTGACTTTTGAATGAAGTCAATCAGTGCTCCATAAATGTTATTGGAGGAGTGCATTCTTAGATGAAATTTGAACCTTTGAAAGTCATGAGTTATACGCTTTTGCTTGACAAGTATAATATCGGTTTCAAGGCCGATTTTACCTCAGATCCTCTTTATTGCATAAGGGATAAGCCCAATCGACGTTTGAACATTACAAAACTGATTTTGGCTGTTTTGCACTTCATCATTTTCCAGTTATATATCATAGGCTTGATAATGTCTGTCGCCATGACCATGTTATGAAGATCACAATTAATATTCGAAGGTTTTTGTATATTGCGATATTTAATTACAAGCATCAACATGTGACAGTATACAGATAGAAGCTACAAAAAAGTCAAAGTAACAAATCGATCTAACGAAGGAAATTCCTCAGTTGACTATTGACTTTTCAATCGAAATGGTGTACATCATGTAGACCCTGATCAGTTATAGAAATCGCGGAATAGTTCGTGCTACTAGTTTATTTCTCCGTATATGCTGCATTTTTGCGATATTTTTTAGCACATAATTAAAATTCCTCTCAGAAATACTGGAAAAGCTGATTTTTCGACATTTCATGTGAAATTTCACACAAACATAGGTCTTAGCCGGAGAAGTTTGAGTTGCTTCTATCCTGTAATAAGAATACCCTATAAGATGCAGTTTTACTATAATCTTATCTGAAGAGAGCAACGATAGAAAGATTTGAAAATTTCACAATAGACTATTCTGTTTCAAATCTATCTCTGTGTGAAATTTCAAGTCGAGATTCGAAAACCGACTTTTCCAGTGTTTCTATAAAGGAGACGACAGCTTTGTGCTAAAAGAACACCGCAAAAATACAGTATCTCGACAGAAGTACGCGAACAGCACGAACTCTTTCACAATACCCATAACTGCTCAAAGTTAACAGAGTACATATGATCTTTATTCAAAAGCAATGGTCGTTCACATCATTAAAATATTATTTTTATTGTACCATCTCACATGACTTGCTTAGCATAACTATCTTGTATTATCAAATAGAAATTCCTTGAATTAATAAATGAACATAAGTATACACTTGTTCGGCGGAAAAACCTACTATATAATAAATAAAAAAAAATGGATATTATTAATATTCTACATAGTTTTTATTATTTACAACATGAATTAAAAACATCATTCATCATCTCATTTGTAGCATATACAACAACATTAATTAGTAACATCTCTTGATATATAATTTTTTAATTTCCTACGAGAGATATTCATAATGTGTTTCGAATTTCAACGAAACTCAATATTTGTAGAAACTCTTGACGATAAACATATCCAGAAAAAGTATAAAGAAAAAATGAAACAAAATAATCACATTGCTACCATATTACAAAAGCTAGACGTAAAGCTATCACAGTTGGTGTTTGTGTCGATGGTACAAATGAATTCATACTATATGTAATACCAAATGGAAGTATGAGAATAAGATGAACAATAATTTAAAGAATTAACATTCTAGTTAATTGTATAATAGAGAAATATTTGACTAAATATATAAATACGAATTAGAATATTCGATTGTGGTAAACATTTATTGTGTTTCATTCCAGTTATAAGTAGATAACATGGGTGATATATAAAGAGCAGATACAATGGTTCCAATAATAATAATTATTCTTGTCTTTCGAATTGTACTTCTCGAATGAAGTCGACAGGATTGTGAACTAGAACAATAACGATCAAATGAAGCTAAAATAAGCAGTAGATTAGCTTGAAATGGAACAATAAATAAAATAAAGAAATGTATTTTACATCCAATACGATTATTTGCCCAATTAATAGAAAAAACACGTAAAAATAATGTTGGACACTTGATCAATAATATCATTCATATTTAGAACATATTGATTTCTTACTGAATTGATTCTTCTTTTTCAAACATTTCTCACTTATGAAATGGTAGAATGAGTATTTTTTCATTTATATAATTATCATGCATGTTGCTTTAAAGAGAGATTTTTTTAAAAATCTAAGTAGATATATAAATTCTCCAATGAAACATAATAATCATGAAGATGATAATAATAAGTCGTTGAGAAATAAATATGCCATAAAAAAAAGAGAATCTCATCTGCCGTTAATGACAGAAAAATCTAAAATAGATTGTTATTCTTGACTGACATGTGCATTGTATTATTCGATGATTTAATCTTAGAAAAGAAATTTTAAATAGAAAAAGAAAACTATCTCGATACAATGATTAATTATAACGACGTTCATTTAATATTGATAAATTCCTTTATGTTATATATTTTCAAATTCATATATTTCTTTAACAAAAGATGTTTTGTAATAAATCCATGAAAAAAGTATGCTGATACTTAGAGTTAAATTTTTCATTCTTTACATCAAAAGTTATTATTCATCCATTATTTGAAATACAAAAAAAAACAATCATACCAACAATAGAAGAAAGATAAAAAGTAATCTATGAATATCAAGAAACAGAGCGATATCAATATTATAGATCTAGGTTAAAAGTTGCTTTTAATTCTATTGTCACTTTGAAGATCAATCTACTGATATTTTACTTTTGATCGGTTTTCAAGATTATTGTTTTCAAGAAACGAGCAAAATATGAAGACTTTACTGGGTAGTAAAGATAAAGTGCCATCCCGACTCGTGTCACGTCAATATTTCTTTCCACTTTTGTGCAACTTGTTCTTGTCAAATCAGCAATAGAGAAGGAATGTCAAGGGCTAAAACAAATTAAATATTAACAGGATTAGTACGTAACACAGATGCGCGAAGATTCAGTTACTTGCTCGTAAGCCGAAAAAAATTAAAATGAAAAACACAAAAGGAAAGTCACACTATTTTTCTAATTCATTTGCACTTGTTGAAGAGACATCGTGTCTTGCAGCGAATGCATTTTATAATAGTTCTACATATCCTATTTTTCGGTATAAAACTTATTGATGGAGCGTTTTTATGTAAGAATGATGGCATGTTCGAAAATGCCGATGATTATCACACATTTTGGCATTGTCTTCACGGTAATAGTTATCTTAAACCGTGTCCAACAAATTTAATTTGGTCACAAGTAGAGTGCCAGTGCGTTGGGGACAGTAAGTATTCCTTTGCTTCGCCGCATTAAGGATGTTTCAATCAAAAAGCTATGATTATTGTGAATTTTATTATTTGATTAATGATGCAAACGTTCGGTTTTCACTATAACTTTGTTCTTTTTTATAATTGTAGCAATGACACCAACAGTTACAATAACAACAACAACAACAAAAGAGACGGTTTTGTCAACGACAGAAACAATATCAAGTGAGTTTTTTAAGTGGTGTACTCTTACAGCTTACTTCGGATAGTGAAAACTTCGGATGTATGATTTTTTATTACGAATATTGGGCAAGCCATAGGAGACTTGCACTTCTAAGATCGATGTATCTTGAAAAAGACGAGATCTACACACCTATATTCATTCTATTTGAAAAAAAAATCCTTACAGTAGTTAAAAGATCGTAACATGTAGCATTTTACAATCACCGCATATGATTGTCTACGATCGAAAATGTTATCGGTGCAATCATCGTACACATGATAACGGACGAGATCAACATGTATTCGATGCGCATTTACTATCTCCACAATTTGTACTACACTATTAGTCAAGCTTATGTCCGTCAGCACTTTATCGTTCTATAGGTATAGAAATATGTTAGTAGATTATTGACAAACTCTATCCTATCAAATGAAAGGGACAAAACATAATTGACCTTCACGGCTGTGTTTTGTAGAACAAATATTTTTCTTACAAAATGTTGGAATGATTTGCCATAAAAAAAGGAGAAAATTATAACTCTAAAACACCAATGCAGATCGAGCATAAGACTTTATTAGTTAAGATAGAGTACGACTGGCTATTACGATTGCTTTTAACATCTGGCAACTGTTGCTGTCCAAAAAATAAGAATTTTGATTAAAATTCTCGAAGAGTGTTTTAATTCTTTGCTTTAGCATGGTACGAACGAAATTAGAGTTTCTCGAAACTGAGATGAATGAAGAACTTGAAATTGTGATTGATAAATTAGAGGTTAAACATAGTCATGAATCACTTCATGCGTTGTTATCTAACAAAGCACGAGTACTCAGAAAGTTACTCATGCAGTGAAATTCTGTCTTGTTGTAACAGATGAACTATTTGTTGACGAGTTTAAAAAGCTGTTGTTAGCTCAAATTTCGTGAACCAACCAGTAAAAGGACTGACTTCAACAGGCCGGTTTTCCAAAAAATTGAATTTTATAAGTTGTTTATCGTGAAATATTTGATACATCACAAATGCATCCACTTATTTCATTCGTAGACAGCATCCCATCTTTCTCATTTCATGATTTCAAACCTACTGAGTTCCGTTGGAAATGAAGAAACAATTTCGAACTTTAGTCAGTATAGTCTTGAGGGATGAGAAGTTCAATATATTGAATCGACTACATCCACTCATCTTATTGAAATTCTACTATATGGAATAGTTGTTGTCTGAATAATGAGCTGTGAGCATATCCTTGCCACGGTATCCCTGTAGAACACTGATCCCATGAAAAAAGTGTTTGAAGAATTTGCCCTCATTCGTAAGTTGAAAGTAAACATTCATTTTAGATTGTTTGGAATCAAATCTAATCACATTTGAAAATGCATCAACCTATTCCAAGATCTCAAATGGTTATCATGGTTTAAAATGGACGAATGCTTATGTACTTGATACACAACTATATCCACAATGGTCCGACAGTGGCTTTTATTCGGCTGTAAAATCGGGTACTTGGGTTGCATTCAACATGAATGGCGAACGAATGACAATCGCTATAGATATGCCAAATAAATTTAGTATAAAATCATTTGTTGCCTCCTCTGCATGGAATGATAGTGTAACATTATCGATGGTTTCACAACGTGCATCAACGTATTATAAAGAAGCATCATTTAAAATTGAAAAAAATCGTTCAACTATGATTGAATTAAATTGGTTCGATATTAATACAATTACATTCTATGCATCAACTAATAATGGTCAACATATAGAAGTTTTTGTCATTGATGATTTATGTTTGTAAGTGTTGTCCATTGCTTAAGTATCGAACATTGTAATAGTATTAGGGGCTACTTTTTGTACTAACAATGGATTGAAAAACGATTCATATCAGTACCGATACATTCATCAGCATGACAGATATGCATTGATCTATAAAACAAGCCTTCTTTTCGGCAGAGAATGCCTTAAGTTTTCGACTATTAAATGCTAAAATAAGTTGCATATTACTTTGTCTTAATTTGTTTTGGACTGATTCAAGAGCGATTGAATACATTCTTTTCACTGCTGAGCAAACTTTAAACATACTTCTTTGTTTTTCCTTAAGGGATTCAACCGCGCTTTCAACATCAACATCAACATCAGCTGAAATTAAAGATAAATGTTCATTGAACGAAATATTATATCAAGCTCATTGTTACTACTTGGATGGTGTAGGAGGAGAATGTCCATACGGTTATAGTCTTGGATCAGAAACGGTCTTATCTCTTATAGCTGATTCATTTATTGGTTTAAATTATAAAACAGCAATTTCGGATAACTGTTGCGTTGTAACATCTGAAAAATACTCAAATTATGGAATTAATTCAGTGGATCAATGCAATAAACAAGGACCATTCACAGTTGTGCCCAGCCACAATGGTGGTGGATGTAGGAATAATACAACTAAGTATCGAAGACAACTAACATTTTGTATGAGCAATTAATTTTATTTTGTATCCGTATTGAAATGTTTTCTCTTGGTAAGAAAGAAATAATAAAACACTAAAATGTGCACTGTAACGTCTTTTACTGGAGATCTACCAAAGAATTTTGACAAAATAGTACAAACAAGAGATAACTGCTACCAATTATAAATCATAGTGATCATGGATGTTTTTCGAATAAAAGCTGAATGAAAAGAGCCATACATGTTAGAAATGAAGAAGGCGTAACTTGCAATCAATGACAATTATTAATTATTCGACAAAAGACAAGTAATCGTGCAATATTCACAGCATTTAGCGAATTACCCACACTTACTCATTGATGAGTAATTATACATAATTTTGTGTAGCTGCAACTAGTTATGAGTAGTTACGAATAATTATTAAACAGTTTCAATTCTTGGACACTGGAACTGAAGCGAGCTGCCTTACTTTGAGTCGCCGTACATGTGTTAGTCAAAAAAAAAAATGAATAAACTAGATCAACGCGATCTCAATTACCGAGAAGCAAAGTAGTTCAGATCATCTACTTAGAAAGTAGGTCTACAAGAAAGCTTAGAGTCATATTGCAGAGTGGTACTGGAGCCGTCATCTGTTGTCTCTAACATCGTCTCATTTCATCATTTGTTCTTCATTGATAGATATTGACGAATCGTTGCCTCATTGTTTTGCTTTGCATTTTTCATCTCACTCCTGTATTCAGTTTTCTTTCTTCTCGGATCCGAAACATTTCTATCGCGTTTTTTTTTCTTCTTTTCGATCGAAATATTGACGTCTCAATGATGCAACAGCCGATACAGAGTTTTCAAAGAGTCTCATTTTGATAACTGATCTACGCTGGCGTCTGGCTAACTAAAATACGGTTGATCGGTTGATGGTGACATTAATTTTTTTCACGAAAAAGAAACAAACTTTATTGTCAGAATCAATCATTCCTTTGAAAATTATTAACTACCATCGTTGTGGATGTGGATGTGGGTGGGATGTGTGAGGTTTGGACGGACCAACATTCCACACGCAGACCCACCCAAATCTACACTCACACAACCCACATTCACATCCAGACTCCTACACCCACATTGTCTAAATAACATCATTGATTATATGATAGAAGCAATGGTAACTTGACTGTCCTTTAGTTCTTGATTTATTCAAGATATGATATGAGAAAACTCACGTCAGCAGTGTTGTGGGTGACAGTACATGCGGCAAGTTTTAGCGCATAAAAATAATGATGCTCATAATTTAGCCACTAGAACACTGTTGGTATCGAGTATCATAGCATAGTCCATTGCACGCGTCCCAATATTGAGCACTAGGGCATAGAGTTCATAGGATGCATTTGTTAAATCGAGTGTCGTAGCATTTTCCATTACATACATCTGAATATTGACCACTGTTGCAAAGGATCCCACTGATACATTTGTTGAAACGAGTATCATAACATTTGTCATTACATACAGCAATATATTGACCGCCGGAACAGAGCGTTGCCGACATGACACCTTTATGTAGAGATGAAATGACCAGAAAAATGCGAAAAACCTCATATACAATCATTATGATATAAGTTGGTTCGTTTTGCGCGTTTTGTTGAGTTGTCGATCTTATCGATCGACTGCGCTTTGTATAGATCTTTTATAGACGATACTTTTTAGTAAAATGATGATTAACACAAAGATGATATATGTGGGTGTGGGTGTGGATGTTGGTTTGAGTGATTTGTTCAACCATATGCACACCCACATCCACCCACACCCACGCCCACACCCCACACTTCACACTACCACCCCACTCCACACCCACATCCATACCCACACCTACCAATATCCACCCACACCCATACTCTCATCCACACCCTGCACAGTATAATACACATCGACATCCATGCTATCGTTCTGATATAAAACTATAAAACAAAATAAATTATTCCATGCAACACTGATGTAAACGTCTTTTTATGTATGTTGAAATAGAAATTAGGCTCTGAATGTTTATGTTAAATTTAATTTATAATGTTCATTCACTAATTCTAAAATATCACTCATAAATGCATCATTGGATAATGGTTGAGTATGATTATAATGACTGCATCGCTCTTGTGGATTCATGCATACAAGTTTCTTGCCAATATCCCGATTTGTCAAAATAATATATCCACATTTTTCACACTTTGTAAAATAATAAGGATTTGGTTTCTGTGGTTTATTGAAAAAACCATCAGAACTCTTGGTTAGATCTTCAACAGAACCCACAAATGAACAAACATAATTCTCAAGATGCTTCGCGTTAAATTCCTGCGCATCGTACCAGTCATATGTACATGTCGTCGAATCGTCATCTCCGAATGCACCCAGATATTCACGTATCTGTAAATGAGTCGGTAATGACGTATCGCGTTTAATATTCACACGTTTATCATCATTGCCGGACAATATAACCTTTATTTGTTCCTTGCCTTTCGACATCTGGAATCAGAGATTTTATGCGAGTCACACCTGCTGTTCGCAAATAACGAAACGATCTAATGTAAAAATGTTTATATATTTATATAACAGACAAAGACAATATTACAAAGTGCGTCATCTTATCCACGCATGATAGAGAAAGGGAAGAGATAAAAACCCGAATGTTATAAAACTTTCTAAGAGTAGGTAACTAAGTTACATTGACTTTATCTTCATCAAATAAAATGAGTGTATTATCAAGAGAATATATAACATACGAATACGAATAGAAGAAAGCAAAAATACCATAAAGAAAAAAGAGTGGATGTTGTGTGTCGGTGGGGTGTTGGTTTTGAGTGTGAGTGTGGGGGTGTGGGTGTGAGGTGAATGTGAATGTGAATGTGAATGTAGGTGTCGGTCTGAATCTGAGTGTTGTTTATCCTTCTCTTCTACCCACACCCTATGCAAACTTTAGCGCGTCTAATGAATTCCGAAGAATCATATGGCTCCTGGTATGTGTTTGGATCCGCTTTTTCTTCATTTGATCGACTTATGGTTTAGTTAAAAAGAAGAAGGGTGTGGATGTGTGGTGTGGTGTGGTGGGTGGGTGGGTGTGGGTGTGTGGTGTGGTGTGGTGGGTGGGTGGGTGCGGGTGTGGGGTGTGGGTGAGGGTGTGAGGTGTGGAGTGTGGATGTGAGGTGTGAAGTGTGGGTGTGGGTATGAGGTGTGGAGTGTGGGTGTGGAGTGTGAGTGTGGGTGTGGGTGTCGGTGTCGGTGTGTGGGGTGGGTGTGGGTGTGGGTGTGGGGTGTCGGTGAGTGAGTACCGGATAAACGCCCACACCAACACCCACTGAATTGACGGAAAACATCACAAAAGGCAACTCACATCTATACCCTCACCTACATTCACACCCACTATAAGAAAAACCCAGAAAAACATTAAAACAGCGAAAGGGCATCGAGTGCCTTTAAAAGTTTTGCAAATATTTTACTCATTCCACAAAAAGACGCATAAAGCATGAGGACATCATTTTTCGAATTCATTCAACACTTCTTCTTCCAACTTTGTCTCGAAAAATTGGTTGATTTTCATGAATTCTTCACTATTTATACCTAGCTCAGGTACCTCTTTCTCTCGCAGCATATCGCAACACTGTGAATGCCGCGAAAAGAGTTACACCACGAAAGAGAGGCATTATTCAAAATATTTCTTTTTATTCGAAAATTATCCAGAAAAATCGATTGATTTCCATGAATTCTTCACTATCAACGCCTAGTTCACGGTATGGGTGTTGATTTCTATTGACCTACATCCACACTCCATACCGACATACCCATTCACCTCTCCGTGCACATGTTGAGTGTATTTCTCTAGGGGAAAACATTGATTTTTCCGAGCCAGATCCTTAACGGATCCAGTGAGGATCCTTCCAGGATTTGCTCTTTTTTCCTGAGGAAACGACGAAATCATGAAAAAAGTCTGTAGCCACAATATTTCAAGATTCTGACGGGATAGGGAACAGGATTACATCAGAATTTTCAGCAAATTACGATTGTGTTTGAATCAGGATCCTGGCAGAACTCTGATAAATTCCTAATCAAAAAAAGAAATTTCAGTCTACCGGGTACCACATTTATCTATTTTTCCCCAAGGATATTACCAGTTTTCCTTAAAAGATCGTTGCAGGATCTTACTGAGTTTCCTTGAAAGTATTATGCCATTTCTTAGCAGGATCCTTGCAAGGTTTTCTAAACAGAACAGAAAACAAATGAACACATAGAGTATCGATCTCTAGACCTTCAGTATACATACCGATCAGTTTATCCGGCGGGACTGTGTCATGTTATCGTATGTAACTTTAGCGTTCAATATTTTATATTCTGATTTAAGTTTAAACATCTATACCAGTTTTATACGAATAGAAATGATCTCAAATAAATTATTAAAAATATAACATTATTTCAAGTATTTCTCCAACAGAGAAGGTATCTTACTTTTTACTGTAAATTTCGAGTCAGTTTCAAAAATTTATTTATTATTTTCCTCATGTATGAGTGAAACTAAGAAGAGCATTAACCTAAAATTTACCACAGACTAAAAACCGCTATTTACTAAAAAAATATTGAAATATTCGACTTAAAATTAACACGATATTTTAATATTTTATATTAAATTTTCTTCTGAAAAAAATTATAAAAACACTGGCTTTTATCGAGCGAATGCCACAATAACATCAATTGGCACTTGGAAAAATTCTAATTAGAATAATTTTTGTAAGATTTTAGCAGAATCGCTTTATTTGTTTGTAACAAGTTCCGAGTTTTGTTAGGGATCGAAATTATACTACTTTATCAAAAACGTTTCGTCTCCCAGTTTCAGATCTTTAAAGTATCTGATCAGGATCCTCCAAGGACTCGTTCTTTTTCCCTGAGAGAACGACAAAATCCTAAAAGAAGTGCGAAGCCGTGGACTGTCAGGGTCCTGATAGGATTCGAGACAGGATTACATCAGAATGCTGAACAGATTACCACTGTTTTTCAATCAGAATCCTGTCAGGAAACCCTCAGATCCTGAAGAAGTGTGTAGCAACGGAATTTCAAGATCCTGACAGGATTCGAAACAGGATTACATCAGGATTCTGTACAAAGTACCACTGTTGTTCAATCAGGATCCTCTTAGGAAACCATTAAATTCTGAAAGAAGTGTGTAGCTACGGAATCTCAAGATCCTGACAGGACTTGAAACAGAATTAAATCAAATTCCTGAACAAAATACCATTGTTTTTCAATCAGAATCCTGCCAGGAAATCATTAATTCCTGAAAAAAGTGTGCAGCCACGGAATTTCAAGAACCTTACAGGACAAGAAACAGGATTATATAAGAATCTTGAGCAGATTTCCATTTTTGTTTGACTTATAATAATTAAGGAAATAAGATGTGGTTGTGAACAACAGTTATATGTAAGTTAACCAGCAAGCACAGCCACTGATACACCCTCTTGTTGGCTTTGTGCTGAGACCCTCATTAGTTTTAGCTGCAATAGTTGACTGGATCGTTTGTACCAAGACCAGTATTAAATCTTGTCTAAAACTTGATAAAATATTGAGAGAGTTCTGTCTATTATTTCTGTAAGGATCCTTAGCAGAATCTTGATTGAAACCTTGAAGGATCCTGCATTCGTGATCTATAAGCAAACCTGGTCAGGAACGTGAAGAAATCCTGCACAGGATCATGTATAACCGTGAGAAATCCTGGAAGCAGGATTATTAGGAATCGAGTCAAGATTCTGAGGAAAACTTGACAAGATCCTGATAGATCCTTCCAAGCTTTCTCAAGGAGTGAACAGGATTGAGACTAAGGATACCCCCACCGACACCTCCACCCCATATCCACACCCACACTCGCCCCCACTCCACACCCACATCCTTTGTGCATTGGCGAATGCTCGCTCGACTTTGTCCTTCGTTAAGTCAGTGCAAAAGTTTATATTAACAATCAGGTTATAGTGAAACAAAACTCATATTTCAATCGAATTAGCAGATTTCGTGTATATTTTTAAGTGAAATTCTATAACATCCAATTGAAATTTACATTTTTTTCAGTAAAATCCATCCCGTATTAAAAAAAATTTTCTTTAGGATGTGGCCGTGTGTATCTATGCCGTCTTGTGTGAATGAGGAGAAACACTTTGCTAGAGTCACTAGATGACACTACTTGACACCAATCATACTTCTATTAGTTTTGTGTACTGCGATCCTCTTTGACATTTCCCTTTTGATTCGTTAGTAATGGTCGATTGGATTGTTGTTGGTAATCATCGTTATCATTTTTATTTGCTTACAAATAAACGATAATCATCTGTCATATCTAGTAGAGTGTGGTTTTGAAGAAGAAACTATTCACACTCCACACTCCACACCCACTCACACCCACACCCTCTCGTATGATGAATGTGCTTTCGAGTAGTTGCCCATATTATCATACACCGAACCAAGTTTATGATTGTAATCCGCGGGATCCGTATGAGAAGATGCCTTTGAGAGGTGTATGATGTACTATGTTTCGGCTTTCGCAGACTCATCCAATTTAAGAAGTTTGAAATCTAGTTAAGACTAACCTGGTGTTGATGCTTTCGAGTTAACCTCTTCGCATAAAAATGATGTAAGTTTGTTTGATTCATGATTATTATTATCCACAAGAGGGAGATTATCACATTGATCATCGTGAATCTATTGAATTTGATCGATGCTTTAAACAGTGTGTGTTGTAAAAAGAATTTCGGCTTCATCACCTTTGAAATAGCCATTTTTACTGACATTGACGTAAGGTAATGATGATTTTGAAGATATGGCCGAGTTTATGGTCATTATGAAGAGAATGCCGACCACATTGGAATTTTTCGTTACTCCTCCTCGAACAGATTGAAGAAACACCTGGGGATTTTCATTTGGGGAAAGAAAATTACTGAAAGACATTAAGTCACCTTTGATTGTCTTCATTTTTTTCCAATTTTCCATTGATAAATCTTGCCCACGGAACATTTTGAATGGTGCCGTCGTCTTCTGCTTCCAATGTTGTTCTTGATATAAATTTTCAATATGTTGATGTAGGTGTCGAATAAAAAAACCATTTTGAATATAATAAGGATACCCATTAGTCGAAGTCTACAATTTAACATTGAGTAAAAAAAGTAGGGTACCGTGTAGCACCATATTGATGTATGCCGGCGATACTCTCGTTCGATCATATTACTTTGATCTTCATCAATATCATTGTGTTGATGATGGCACTCAATGAGATCTTTAATTGACTTACTGCTGTCGTCTTTCATATCCAAAAGTGCTTCTTTTAACAGTTGTGTATACATGAATAACGCATCAATACCATTAGAACTCATCGAGATCGCAGCTCGATCACAATTTTCATAATCGATTTACGATGCTTTACAAATCTGTTTGATGCTTGTGTACACACCTTTTATCTTGAGTATTTTTCTGGCCCATTGCTCACGAACCGATTGATTGCTACAATATACGTAAATTGATTCTAATTGTGGCCATGGTTCAATTTCTGGTACTATTTTCCGATCCAAGGAACCGGACACAATCATAAACACTTTTTTTTTCTTTATTTCACTGAGAAAATCAGTACAGTCTTGTGCATTCGTAAATGTTGTAATGAATGTCACGATACGTCGCAGGTGTTGTAATGATTTCTCAAAGTCATCAATGGATTCATCGAAACTGGTGTCAAGCCAAACTACAAGAAAATTTGTAGCACCTAACGAACAGATCGAAGCAGAGAAGCAACAGCACGATTGCTTTTGGTGGTATTTGTCATCGCTGCTACCTCACTAGCAGCAGTTTTTGTCGATTTTTGTTTGTCCATGATAGATAAATGAATGAATGAATATACTAAGTGAATCGTAGTCTTCCTATATTTATATAATAGCTTGGTCTTTTTGTTGATACTTTTGTTTTTTGGCTTGTTACTATAGACTTCAAGGATCTAATACCTTTATCATCTGTTTTATTTCAAAAGTGTGTTGCTGATGAAATGACAATGGCGAATGACGAGCGAAATCTTTATACGTCAAATAACAAGTAAGGAAGAACAAGAACGCAAAGAAAAAAGTCTAAAATGAAAAAATGTCATCGTCCGTAGAATACAGAGAGAAAAAAGAACGAAAAGTCATAAATAGAATTTAAAAAAAAAATTTGTTGAGTGTTCTGCTCTTGTGTATTTGGTTATCAAGCTTTTTTCGATATCATAATTAAGGTAGTATGCGTGTGTGCAGCCAGATGTGCAGGAAGAGGAGAACAATAAGAACACCAAAGCCATGCACGTGAATTTTTTATACTTGATTCATTGGAATCGACAAAAGTCAAAAGCGAATTGCAATACACTTGCTTGTACATTCACGAGTAATAGATGTGATACACTAGAATCCTTGCAAAAAATAATTAATAACGAAAAAAAAATTTTTATCAAGCTAAAGTAACTGAATGAGAAGCATACAACCGAGTAGCATACGAGTATCTGACTTTTGAATAATATGAATTGTAGTAGGTAATGATCTATGATAAATAGTCTAGCGAAAATAATAAATTTTTATGCATCATCAAACAATATGAATCTATCGAGTGGGTCTTTTTATATTAAACATATATTGATATTTTAAAACATTCATCTGTTCCTAGCTAATTAGATGTTTAGCTTATTTAATATTTGCCAGTCAAGATATCAATATAGCCGAAAATTATTCTTGCATGTTCACAAATGGCATTAGCCAATTTGATTACGTTTGTACTAAAAATTGATTCAAAAAAATTTAATTCTTTGAATTAAAGCAAATTTAATCACTCAGTTGTCACAGTATATATAACACGCACTATGCCACTAAGTCATTCCCAAAAATCTTTTTACATCGAGTTTTTATTCCTTCACGCAACAATGACGACGTTGGTATATTGTTAATCAGTTATATGTCTCAATAAACAACAGAGACCGAAACGCATGACAGAAATTCAATTCCAATTCAATTCCATCCACTTCCAAAAAACTTTAATCCATTCGATTCGAAAACCACAAAAATTCAATTCGTTTCGATTCAGTTCTGACATTTAAAAGAAATGCTATCTATGTTTAGACACAGTCCATTTTTTGTTAATGTCCTATCTTGAAATGGACAATGCATATCGATACTCTCATGAAATGAATTAGTTTTATGCTTAACTTTACAACCACTTGTATGCAGATCAGCAGCTGTCAGACGAGTTTCACCGCGATTTTCTTTCTCTGAATGAAAAACGAACACTACTACTGCAAAAAGAACAATACCCCCTGTACCGAGTGTTCTAATAGGAAGAAGTCGATCAAAGCGCCTGGATGTTTTGATATCTTTGAGCTACATGTATTTTGGCCTTGTTTCGATTTTCTACTTCATTGTCAAGCTTCTAGTATGACTCGAAATGAATGAGATAAGAGATATATAAGCTCCTTTGTTAGGTCTTACGCACACCAACGAAATAAAATAATTCTATTTCTGCCTTAAATTATCACTCCTACATACTGTAATAGTTAATCCTAATCATAAACCAGCGTTGCCTTCATAAGAAGATAGAAATAATAAAAAAAAGTAAATTTCGATCGCCATCTTCCCAGCCGTCTATTTATTCACATATATTTCATAATTCAGTTATGCTCGATTGAACTATACTTTAATTGGTGTATTAAAATTTAATTCTCTCAAAAAAATGACATAACTATCTTTTGACTTTACACCAATCAGATTACTTATTTCAGCATTATTTTGTTTTTCGTTCTGTGTTCAGTCCCTTGTGATCATAAGTAACGATATCAATGACAATCGAAAATGACAGAAAAAGATTGATTCGATTCGATTCAGCTTCGGTTTCTGGTTTGAAATAGTTGATAGCGACATTGGCATTACTACTGACTTTGAGGAACGTGCATTGTGCTTTATTCATCTATTTCATTATTGTCATCAATCATGCTCTTTTAAAATTATGTCTACATTATTGTTGTAAACTCGTTGAAAAGATGTATTTGCTATAGTTTTTATTGATTAGGAACAGGTAGAAATGTTAATTTCAATCTGGACTAATCGAAATTTATTCAAAGACAAAACGCTGATATAGGAAAGCGATTGTTGGCGCATCTACACAGATAGATAGAGATCGCGTACCGAGACAAGTTGCTGGATACCATACTTGTTGACGAACCACGTTTTCTTGACGTTTCAAAGGTTTCAACAACTCAGTAAAATTGAAAGGAATGATTGATTGGTAAAATAGATTAGAATAGTTTGCCTAGAGAACTCTTTTGTCACATTGAATCTCATGAATAGAATTATTAGTAATTGAATTGAAGAAGCTTGAATCATTTCAGTTGACAATAATAACTACATTGTGGAACATGGATGTGAATGTCGATTATTTAGAAAATATCAACCCACCAACATCCACTCACACTCAACCCACAGTCACAACCACCACACGCACACCTACACCCACACCCTATCAATGTATGCACCAACGATACTATATCGACTCTCAAAACAAGAGGACTATACTTTCGAATATAGACGTATGAGTTTCACTACATCATTTTAAAAGTTTTTTCAAGACAGATCCGTAGTTCTGAGTGATTTCTAAAGGCTGTGGACCGATGAATTGTGAATCATTTCGTTTGGCATTTGTTAGTGAGTATTGCCTCAATCATGTTCTCATTGTTGTTATTGACGAATCTGAAATAAACTGGAAATATTGGATGTAGAGTGAGAAAAAAAGATTCGCCTATCATGTGAGCATGCCAACTCAAATGTTTATTTCTCCTTTTAAATAGGTAACCGCTTTGCCCATCAGTAGTACTCTGTCTCCTTTGTTTTCACACCAAAGTTCTCCCTTGCGTGCCGAAATCTGGTAAGCGTGCATCTGGTTTTTACCCAATCGTTCTGCCCAATAAGGAGTTAGAGTACAATGTGCCGAACCACAAACAGGATCTTCAGGAACACCAGCGCTTGGAGCAAAGAATCGCGAAACAAAATCGACTTCATCACCAGGAGCTGTAACAATCACGGCAAAAACATCATCAATTTTGCTTAATGCCATAAAATCTGGTGACAATTGTTTGATGTCGGCCTCGTTTTCATAAACGAGCAAATAATCTCTCGCTTTATAAACATCAATGGGAGCTATTTCACTGTGTAATGCTGACAACAATCTATCAGGCAAATCGGCTTTGTGTCCAGGACGAGCTGGAAAATCGAGAACATATAAAGCATCCTCCTTTTGGCGAGTAACTATAAGTTCACCAGCTTTTTTGGTCTGAAATTTGATTTCCTCTTTTCTAGGAGTCATTTCAGTAAAAATAATATGCGCTGTCGCTAATGTCGCATGACCACATAGATTTACTTCCAGTTCGGGTGAAAACCAACGAAGTTCATATCCATCATTGCTGGAATTAGGCACAAAGAAAGCCGTTTCAGAAAGATTATTTTCAGCGGCGATCTTTTGCATCAATGAATCAGGCAACCATTCATCTAATGGGCATACGGCCGCCGGATTGCCACCAAACAATTGATCGGTAAAGGCATCGACCTTGTATATTTTTATAATCATAGTTCTAATTAATTATGCTATTTTTGAGTATGTTTTGTAATTGTATTGCAACAATACTGGTTACTTATCCTATAACCAACAGCTCTAAAAATTCGCAAAACTCTATTAACATTATATTATCTGTGCTCTTCCCTCGGATTAGGAGGAATCTTAATAACAAAACTCATATTTCCATAGCAAAGCTAATTTTTTATTTTCTAACTACTTCAATCTGCCTTTTGAAAACGCAACTTCAGATAGATACGTTTTCAAAATTATTCCGAAGCTTACCGGATTTCAGTAATAAATACGATATTCTTAAAAAAAAGCACTAGAATGATGAAAACGCATGATGTAGCAACTCATATATATATATAGATATCTCAGGTGCACATCTTCAAAAAAAACCGAGTAAGGTTGATAAAGTATTTTCATTTCTTCATCGCTCAAGGTTATTCTCTATATGATACGACCTATGTATTTACATAGATATCTGAAAGGTTGATGTCGTAGTTAGTGGGCTAATGTTCTTCACTGTATATTATCCTTCTTCAAGTGGCTCATTCATGACGGAACGGAATAAGAGAGATGCCTGGATGTGGTATTGAACTATAGACTTTCATGTTATTCGGGCTGTTGCTCTACCATCTGAGCTATTTAGCGCTAATCAAAAGTTCTGATAATGTTGCTGGCAATTGTATAAATTACTTAACATAGAAGTGTTTGTTGCATGAATGAATGGAAGAGTACCTAGTCTATAGCGACATTTCTAGGAATTTTTTTTTGAATGAATCGGTCTTATGCAAGGTTAAGTAGTCATTCATATCGTGCCGATCAGAGGTGGGATCGGTTGGCATTTTTGCCAAACCGAACCGACCGTAACCGAAAAAATCTCTAACCGAACCGAACGTAACCGACCGAATTTTTTAAAATTTCTAACCGAACCGACCGTAACCGAAAAAATCTCTAACCGAACCGAATGTAACCGACCGAATATTTAAAAATTTCTAACCGAACCGACCGTAACCGACCGAATTTCAAAAATTTCGTAATCGAACCGAGTTTAGAGAAAGCGAAGTTTAGCTTATTTTAGTTAGGGTATTAGTGCTTTATAAATTAGCAACAACAAATCAAATAATAGCAACTAAAAATAATGAACACTTAGAGAAAGCAAAGAATCAAGATTATTTATTGGATCTTCTTACTGTATTATAACTTCCTTACCTCTCAGGGCAAATTTTAAAAATATGTGAGATAATCCGCGTTGCGAGCAACAGCTAGTTGTTGTACGATTATATTCTTTTTTCTTCTTATGTTTCACTGAAAAAATCCATTGAACTCAAATGAAACGATTATGTTGATTCTTTCTAACCGAACCGAACATAACCGACCGAATTTTTTAAAATTTTTAACCGAACCGACCGTAACCGAAAAAGTCTCTAACCGAACCGAACGTAACCGACCGAATTCTCTAAAAATCTCCAACCGAACCGATTTCGGTTACGGTCGGTCGGTTCGGTTCGGTTAAAAACCGAACCGGTCCCATCTCTGGTGCCGATGTCAACTCTTGTTCACTGTTTGATTCATCTGATCTGAGCATGAATTAAATTATTATTCAAGTTTTGTGGTGAATCTCGATCGGACTAAGTAGCAAAAAGTATATACACCGTCGCCTGATTTATTTTGATAAAGATCTCAATGGTTGACGACACATGCTTGTGGATGTTGGTATGCCTGCCATGTAAACCTAGCTCTATGCCAAGATCTGACTTCTCAATCACATCCAACCACATCCACACCCTTAGAGGGACATTTTTTGATAGTTTTTCAAGATATTAAAATTTTCGTTTCTGTTCTCCGCTTAAAAAGTAAGAGTTTAAAAAAACAATCGCTTTCATGCTCTGCATCTCAACATTCTCTTTGAAACGGAAAAGAAATAAAACTTATATTATGAAGTTCACAGAAAATGTTAGATTGCTAAATGAGCTATTTGTAACACTCGTCTGTTGAATATTTCGTGAAAACATCATGATATAGAGCTGAAAATATTATCAAAACTATTTCACAATATTTCACAACATATACTGAAAATTTCATTCTATTTGAATGTTTCTAGGCCAAGATCCTTTATTTTATTGGAGGGTGCCTTCAATGAGAAGCCATCCTCAATGAATAGTCATTTTCTTTGTTTTCAAGACAGATAAAGCTACATGTGTATTGTGAAATGAAAGCGAAATGAAAAGAACCATTTTTTGTTATCTTAACAGCAAGATAAGAGAACAAAAGTCATGTGAGCATAATATTCTTTTTCTTTAGAATATACTTTATTTTATCAATAAATCTAGATTGGTTAAGATATAATTGAGTCAACTCTTTAAAAAAAATGATCCATTTGCCAATGAATTTTATCTGGATTCTTCTTATATCAAATTTGTGGCTTGTTTCAAGCAAGCAGGTAGTTATATCTAATGTTCTTCCTCGACTGGATGTCAATGGAAACTTTGTAAATGCACATGATGGTTGTCTGGTTAAATTTGGTAATATTTACTTTATGTATGGTACAGTTTATGGTGAATGTCATCAGTCAACAACTATCTGTGACGGTATATGTGGTTATATAAATAACACATTTGCTCTATATATTTCACCAGATCTTGTCAATTGGACTTTGATTAGTAATAATATTGTACCCGAGGTTACCAAAGATAATTATTATATCAACTATTGGATGCCAAATGTCGGTTACAATAATCGTACTAAACAATATGTGATGATCTATTGGTCGAGTAGATATGGATTTAAAAATTCTCTAGTTGCTCTTGCTGTTTCTTCTACACCATATGGTCCTTTCGTTAATGTTCGACCATTAGAAATGCAAGGTGGAAAGATAATTAGTGATACTACAAATCTATTTGTTGACGATGATAATACAGCTTATGTTCGATATAATACACGTGATGAACCTTTGAGACATGTGGTAGAAAAATTGTCGCCAGATTGGATGACAACTACTGGACAGTTCTCTATTATTTTTGCAAAAGAAGATTTTCCATGGTATGATGGAGGTGGAATGTTTAAACGAAAAGGGATTTATTATACAATGTTATCATTTGATTGCTGTTTTTGTCAATGGGGTTCAGATGCACGAATATTTTCTAGTACTGAAATACTCGGTAATTGGACGTATGTTGGCCAGTTAAATTATTGTGCCGATGGAAGGAGTCCGCCGAAACATGTAACTGACATGACTATAAACCCATGTTCGATCAATGATCCATTTGGTACGAATTTTACAGTCCCTGCTCAACAATTTAATGTGGCTACTTTGCCGATATCATCAGAAGAAACTGTACATTTGTACTATGGAGAAAGATTTCGTTCCAGTAAGGATGGATTGAAAGCTCATGATTTTCAAGCTTGGATACCAATCCAATTTATCGACGCTTGTTTACAGCCGATGCAATTTTTAGATAATTTTACTCTTAATATTGATATGGAATTCATGACATAATTAATTTAAACAATCTATTTGTCTATTACATAATGGCCTGTCACTGAATAATGTATCATTATAATATCATCGTGTACTCAAATTCTAAGCAATAATAATTGATCTATCTACGTAATTTCTTCAAGTTTTGATGAATGTGTATCGATCTCTAATTTAAAAAAAAAACAAAATTGACACAATCTAGCGGTTTTGATAGTCTAACTTACAGCTGAAAGTTGTATTTGCTTTGGATCTCAATAGAAGTCTTGATGATTCTCATTCGGAGACTTTCACGGCAGATGAAAAGATCTTTTATCGAAATATTTCAAAAACAACTACTAGGAGAGTAGATTCTAGAAAAATTCAAGTAGAGGCAAGACTAATACTGATAATAGTAAAAACATTGACTAGTGTCATATTCGATCTCTTATGTTGAATAACATCGCGGAAATTCATCTTCTAATCATTTCATAGAAGATTGTCAACGCACCATCATATTTGACTTGCGGTTCTGATGACAAAATAATTCTATTATTATTCGAAAGTGATGAATCTCATCACATTTATGATTGAATTTCAACTGCGAAGCTAAGGGGATGTCTGAGTCCAAAGGCTATCAAAGAAAGTGCTTTACTTTGAAATAAAAGAATTCAAACTTTGTGTAACGATAGAGCGATCGTAATGATAGAATGACCAGTTCTAAATTGCTCAGTGTATTAGCTTCACTACTCATGTATCAACAGGATCAATTGTAAAACTTCAATTAACAGTAAATACTCATCGGAATAACTTTGCAGTTCATGGATTATGCTCAATTTTAAAATTATCATCATCGATCAACTACACGTTTCAAGAATTATTCATCTGATGTTTTTTTGTCGATGTTGGCCATAATATTTTGTCAGACGAATGCTATTTTGTGCATATTTGGATCGAGTAAAGTCACGTTATTTTGGCGACTAGCTTAGTTATATCCTGTTACACACCTTTGAAGTTTTCAATCATGAACAAGAATCGTTGATAGAATCATTCTTGCATTTACATCCAGATATACGATTTGTCTCATTGAAAAATTGCAAAGATGATCATTGATAAGCAGATACATAAGAGAGTGGGCATTCAGGCCTTTGTTTAATATATCGTTTCGATGACAGTGCGATTCTATTACTCGTTGAGGTTGTTAGTTTATAATCTTAACTGATTTCCTTAAAACTTTATGACACATCCATTAGAGTAAGAATGACGTTGGCAATCATTGGTAATTTGTTATAATCGAATGTTCATAATGTTATTCTCGAGCGAATTTCGTATGCCAATGATTACACGGCGAGTCTCAATCGGTGAATGAAGGGTGTGGGTGCGAGTAAGCTGAAGGCTAATACGAACACTTGTCCGCGTACACATCCACACTCACACCCTTATAATTAATTAAAATTAATTGTTTTATTTTAATTTACTTTTTAAAAAAAAGATTTACCAATATATATATATAAGAAAGGTTTACTGGGAAATCGGTATTTGGACAATAATGTCGAATTTCTAATGCTGCCTAAATTCTTTCGGCATTTTGACAGCACTGGAAATTCGACAATATTAGCCAAACTCCGATTTCGAAATTCTGATTGTCGACTTTTCGTTTCACCATAAGAAAGAGTAAACATATTCAATAAATTAACTAGATATTTGTTGTTGTATTTAAGAAAGTCAAAGGAAACATGTTTTATTTGGTTTTTTATTAGCATGAATAATTGGGACAAAATACAAAAAAAAAGAAAAAGTAAACTACTAGTTCACAAAATAAAAAAAAGAAAATTAACTAGTACTTGCGAAAATAGATGAAGGAGCTAACTGCTAGATAATGTTTCTCGATTTTGATGATGATTGGTAGTATCATCTCAATTAAGAATATGAAGTTATGTTTGTGTCATACGTCCTACAAAGAAAACAAAGCTGTGAATGCAACTCTTGCGCGATTAAAATAACATATTTCTTCCCCTCCTTTTAATTCTTCAGAAATGCAATAAGGAAACATTTCATATATTATAACAAGACTTTTTATGATATACAATCTATGATCATCTATCAATAACATCTGCCACGATAGATGATGGTCTCTGGTAGAGCTCGAAATTTTTATCCCTATACTTCAAAACTTATTTTAAAACATGTTTCACAAATGTATTGAATATATTCAAGATTATTAAGTGCTGCAAATAATGATAAACAGATAGAAGAAAATATGAAGGATAGAATACATTATCAGAACAATTTCTCAATGGTCTATCATCAATACTCTATATCTGTGCAACACGCTTGCCTTAAACATCCTATTCAAATATGCTTCTCATTTGAAAGAAACGATGATAGCCACCTACCTATTCAAATACACTACACGATGAACGCATAACAAGAATAGGTATTCAAATATTTTGTTTGATTCGGAGCAAACATTTGTAATTGATTATATCGCCGCCGAACATTATATCAAGGAATAAGTCATACCAAGCAACTATTCAATTATTTTTCTCAATTCAAAGAAAAATTTGTAATTGATTATATTATCGAGGAACAATCAATCCAAGAATAATTCATATTAAACAACTATTCAAATATTTTGTTCAATTTGAAGAAAAGACTCGTAATTGATTATATCGTCTAGAAACACTCCATCGAGGAATAATTCATAACAAACAACTATTCAAATATACTGTTCGATTCAAAGCTAACATTTTGAGTTGATTATGCTCTCGAAAAACAATGGATCAATGAGTACCTCATACCAAACAATTATTCAAATATTTCATTCAATTCGAAGCATAGATTTGTAATTGATAATATCATCGAGGAACACTCGATCAAGGTATAATTCATATTAAGCAACTATTCAAATATATTGTTCAATTCGAAGAAAAGATTTGTAATTGATTATATCGACTAGGAATACACAATCAAGGAATAATTCATAGGAAACAGCTAGTCAAATATTTTGTTCAATTCAAAGCTAAGATTTGATGTTAATTATATCATTGAGAGATACTTGATCAAAGAATAATTCAGATCAAATAACTATTCAGATGTTTTGTTCAATTCAGAGCAAAGATTTGTAGTTGATGATACCACCGAGCAACACTTGATCAAGGAATAACTCATAATAAACAGCTATGCAAATATTCTATTCAATTCGAAGCATAGATTTTCAGTTGATTATATCATCGATAAACACTCGATCCAGGAATAATTCATAAGAAACAACTATGCAAATATTTTATTCGATTTGAAGAAAATATTAGTGATTGATTATATCGATGAATAACACTCGCTCAAGAAATAATTTATAACAAACAACTGTTCAAATTTATTCTTCGATTCAAAACAAAGAATTAGAGCTGATCATGTCATCGAGGAATACTGAACCAAGGAATAATTTATACCAAACAACTATTTAAATATTCTGTTCGATTTGAAGCAAAGACTAGGTTTTGTTTATATCATCGAGAAACACTCGATCAAGGAATAATTCATATTAAACAACTATTCAAATATTTTGTTCAATTCGAAGTGATGACTTGGAGTTGTTTACATAGTCAAGGAACACTTGATCAAGAAATAATTCATATCAAATAACTATTCAAATATTTTGCTTAAATCAGAGCAAAGATTTAGACTTCATTACATCATCAAGGAACATTCTTTCAAGGAATAATTCATATCAAGCAACTATTCAAATATTTTGTTCAATTCAAAGGAAATATTTGAAGTTGGGTATGTGGTTGGTGGTGAGACTTTAAACTTTGTGGTAAACGATGAAATCATACGTTTGTTCAGTATATGACGAAGCAGACGTTCAGGATTTGTATCTCGAATGCGAGCCGCTTGTGCCTTGTAGACAGTTGCTACCAACATCAAAAAAATGATTAAATAAACCATTGTGCACACTTGCTTCATTTTTGCTTGTTGGTTCTCGACTCTTGAGAAGAAAATGAAAAATGAATATAAAAAATTATTCGAATGATATTATCATGAAATTACGCGTTGGCTGTATATACTCGTTAATTGCCTAACATGGAGAAATTTACAAAAAAATATTTTCTTTTCACGTATGACGAGAGCGATAGATGTATTTTTATAAGCAAGGAGTGTTTTTTTTCTTGTAGACAATGTTGCATACGTCGCCAATGTAAAACAAAATCATGCATCGATTTTCATCATGACGTCTTTCTATGTATATTCAACCTTGAGCTGTATATGCATTGAAATAATCCTTTTCTTCTTTTTTTTTCTATTCACATGTGACAATCAATGATAAAAAAAGAATCGTTTAATCAACGATTATATATCTGCGACAGTTAGTCATCAAACATGTTCTTTTTACTGTCCAAAAAAAAGGCATATCTTATTCAGTAAAAAAAATTATTTTTAAGAAAATCAGAGTTATTTTTGATTGTTCATCTACAACCCTAATTTTTCCACGAGACTCCTACATTTTTCACGATAATCCGATTACAATCGATTGAACAAATAATCTATCTCACCAATTATTCTTGATCATCTTAGTTGTAATTTGATTTCAACATTAATCATAATACGAGGCATTTTGGTCGAAGTATTAATTACTAGTATAACTACGATGGACAATAATATCATGTAATATTTATTAGCACAAAAGTTCTAGAACGAACACGATATACATGGTTATGACCAGTATAAATGCTTTTTTCAAAACATAATTTAGAGAAAATAAGTCGGTTATTATTGGTTTTAACCAATAGCAAATTCATCCAAAACAAGAATCATGTTTAATCGATTTCAGAAAGTAGTAATGAAGTGAAAATGAGTATTTTTTTAAGAAAGAGGCACATACGTATGTAAAGAGTACAAGCTATGAGAATACCAATTAGAGAAATACTTTACAGACATAGAAGTAGTATGTTGGTATGCTGTAAAATGGATTAAACGACATTTCTTTCATGCTTTTATTAGCACATGCAGTTCTCATTAGCGATACCTATATAAAATTTCGAACCAATGAATAAATCCAGAATCTTTTTACATAATATACTCATTCGGGAACTGGAAAAGAAACATAATTATCATATGTTCGTTGTCGATCTCAACATACTTTTGTTGTTCTTCCGACAATCACGTTGGTAAAAGTCGGAGAGCGCAACACAACCAAACTTTTTTGGTTTAAAACACATGCTTACAGAAAATTGCGACGAACGGGAAGTATCTCGCTCGACTGTAAATTAAGTTTATAAATTTTTGGTATTTATATAATAACAGTTGATCTTTCGGCTGAAATCATAAAGTAAATACATAATCTGCTAATATTCTGTAAGCCATCTAAGGTCGGACAAGATATCATATAGAAAAAGATAAAATTATGCACAAAATTGCTTCATACCGAGTAAAATAACGGCCAAAATAGATCACCGCCGTTTGTATCTTACTTTTTCATCATTTAATACATTTTATTAAAAAAACTAAATATACCATACCGATTTAAAAAAAACACTTTTCAATAATCACGTTATAATCTATTATAATCATACGATTATAGTTAAAGATTTAAGCAGACATTATCACAAAAAATCATTCCTAAATCGATTCTAATTATCAGTGGTGAAAATAATCGATCTAGAAATGACTTTTTATGATTGTCTTTTCTTAAATCTTCGATTAAAATCGTATGATAATAATCGATTAAAGATCGATTATTTCGTGATTATTGAAAAATATAATTTTTACTTAGGCATGATGCAGCATGAAAAACTATACAATAAAAAGTTTATCCTATATATGCACCTTTAATTTTCAAAATTGGCAAAATTTTTTATGACCAATTTTTGATGCGACGAAAATTTTTTTTGGTATACGACGATCTTTGTGTTTATTTCTTCGATTATGTCATTTTTTCAAAGGAGATAATGGATGACTGATTTTAGACCACTCGATTTATGGGTGGGTATGGATACGAATAAGCTGAAGGTTAATATTGGCACGCACCCGCGTACACAGCCACACCCCACACCTCACATCGATACCCAGACACCCACAGCTGCACTTCCAGCTTGAACATCTTGTTTTCATTCTTTCATATGACATCAGTATAAATCATATCAATGTACAAATGATGATCTTACCCAAAGCTGGACGCATACACCCATCATCCACCCAGTCTCACATTCTATGAAGCTTTCCAGATATTGGGGATTTTCAATTGATAGACTAAATCGCATATATTTTTGGAAGCTTCATACATTGGAAAGATGTGGCTTAAAATTCTTAATTTTTATGTATACATATTAGTCTCGCGACCATCTGTAAGTGGTCAAAGTTTCAGGACAAAATTTAACAACAGCGTCTTGCTATAAATGTCAGATCCTACAGCTGAAGTTCACTAAATACGTTCGATCTACTGAGAAACAAGCCAAACTTCATGAACTCATTTCACAATAGACATAAATGACTAAAATCTACCAGATGTACTAAGACTCAATTGAAAAGCGTTTCAGCACCTGAGAATATTCTCTCGTACGTCTAAGTCAAGATTTTAGATCAGGTATTTTCAGCTTATCTATTTGATAGAAATGTTGAAAGTTATACTTAAATGAAGGGAATACTTTCATCAAAATTTCATGAGGCTGCTTTTGCAGTACCGCCATATTAGTTTTTATAACAAACAAACACATAAAAATACGGCTCTGCTGCTCAAGCTCATCATTAATGCAGATTTTCGTGTGCAAACATCGCAAAGCTTCTGTCACATTATTTTCATTTTCAATACTTTCATAGTATCCTGACAGAATGATCATTATATATGTAAGTCCAGAATAAGTGGGGGTGTGGGTGTGGATGTGGTGTTTGGGTGTGAGTATGGAGTGTTGATCGTCTCTTCAACTACATCTGATACCCACATACATCCACACCCATCTTCTAAGATAATTTTCATTAAAATGAATTTATTGGATTTCCATAGAAAAATTCATTTGAAAAAAGTATTTTCGATTTCAAATAGCAATATTTTTTATTGTTATTGATAAAACGAAGAATAGAATACGATGAAATTTCTTTTGACCATAGCAAACGTTATTATTCAAGTGTTTTAAGAAAACAAGAGAAAGGACAAAAGACAATTTTCATTAGGCATCAAGTCTTAGAGCAGTCATCAGAGAAAAAAGGAGGATTGGGTGTGGGTGAAGACTCATGCTCACACTCGCAGATCCATTCCATATCCAAAAAGTGTTTATAGCATGTGTATATATCGATTTTCATATTCAAATGAATATCCGTCAGTTATTTTTCAAAGAATTGATTTTAATTTCCATAAAATGTTTCTCATAGTCATTTCATTTGAATTTAATGAAAATAGAAATTTAAGATGTCACAGACGATGGAGTACTTTTATTTATCACTCGTTCAATCGAATCATCCTAAATCAAAATCAGAATAAAATAACCTTATTATGTTAATATTGATTTCATTTACCACAGGTAGATATTTCACTTCGTGTGTAGGATCATTTATGTTATTATTCGTTTGTACTGATGAAGAATCTGAATGTGGTGTTAAAAGACTGTCTTGTTCTAGCTAGAAATAGAAAATGAAATAATGTTGAATGAAGTAAAACTACTAGTAATAATATTTGCATTATCGATGGAACGATTAGTATCTGAACGATTAGTGGGTGAATGTTGTATATCCTAAATAAAATATCAAATACAGGTATGGTCATTAAAACTAAAAGTTTTATTATGAATTATAACGAAGTATGTTGTATATGTATATTTGATAATAAACTTTTCAATAATGAAAACTATACTATTCTTTTAATCATATAGTATTTAGAATTAAATTCTTATTCATTTTCTATAAATTAATTGATTCATAACACAGAGTTAACCTCTAATTGATCATTGCCATCTATTGTCTTTAGAACATATTTATTTTTTTTCTATAGAAGAAACCAAATAAGAAAATTAAGACTAGATTGAATTTACTTATAACATGATTTTTCTTATTAATAGAGAAAACAAGTTTTATTGCCTTTAGCTTTTTTCTTTGTATCTTTCAAAAACTTACATCTGAATTACGAATTCGTATATCATTTTTCGTACGTGATCGATTCTTTGAAATGAAATATCTAAAAGAAAATAATGATTCATCAGAAATTAAAAGTTTGTTTATCCTTACTTTCTTAATCCATATGTGACCAAAATTAATATGATAAGTCCTGCAGCACTACTGGTTCCAGCTAGCCAGTAAATAAATGTATTTGCTTCTAAAAATGAAAATATATTTAGAATTACAAAATACCTACAATAAATATACTATTAGTTATAATTGTTTGACATATTTCTTTTTTAAATGATTGATCAGTTCGTTCATAGAAGCAATGAAGACAAACTTTATATCTTGTTGATGAATGAAGATTATTAATCAAAATTGTTCGACTTGATGTTTCCGGAATTCCCTAGAAAACAATTTTCTTTCTTGTTTTGTAACAACAATAAAGCTATAATCTAAACTAATTTTGGTGTCGTCTGATTATCTACTTGAGAAATATTTCCTGCACATAAACGTTCCCTTATTGTTCCTGTATTATTATGATTAATCAGAATAGTTAAGTGATTGCTCGAGATATTTGCTATTTGAAAAACGACTTCAGTTGTATGTACTAGGAATAAAATAGAAAAAATGATTGCTAATTAAAAATAATCTACCAGAATTCTTACTAGCTTCAAGATTGAATTGGTAATCAGTTGATTTAAAATGCATTAACGTTATATTAATTTTCATCGAAATTATCTTCGGAATTCGATTTTTGTCAAGAGGAACTAAATTAAAGATAAGTTCATTGTCATCAGTTATATTAACCAATTCTGCTGGATGAAAATATTCTTTTCTAAATAAAAACAAAATCAAAATGCTAGTTTTTGAATATTAATTAAAACATACATAGGCGCATTTTCCGAAAAATCATAAACTGGTGGAAAACCATTTCGAAATGCACGTCCAATTATTGGTGCACGAAATATACATTGAATATAACGACGATCATATGCTTGACAAGATTGGCTTCGTTCAATAAGACCAGGTTCTTCTACAAAGAACTTTGTTTCTTCTTTTATTGTTTAGAGAAAATAAATCGTTATCCAAAATTTTTATTATTATTTATATTTTCGAGTAGAAGCATTTTAGGATAGTATGACTACCTCATGTTTAGCATATGGCATCACATTTAAATTGTGTGCGTATGTTTATAGAAGCATTGATATCAAATAGTTACTTATGACATGTTACAATACAATAGAAAAAAGCAAGAATATGTTTATGATTTTAATTCATTTGCAGTAGAATGAAAAGATTCCTTTTCTCACAACTGAAATAAAAATATCATTTCTAAGGTTTTTAAGAACAGAAAAAATATCCTGTAAAATTTTCTCGAATTTGAAGGAAAAAAAATACTGCAATTCGATTTCAGCATTTTTCATACGTTTTTAGTTACGTATAGAAAAAAAAACGAATAGAATACTTAATACCTCCAATTATAAGATCAGCCGGTGTACCATAGCGAATATTATTATTCCAATGGCAAACAATGCGATTAATACCAATATAACCATTGGGTATAATACGGATACGTATGGTAGTAGAATTAACTTGTTCAGTTTTTAATTTAAATGCGGATGAAGCTAAGACTGAATTATTAATTGAAGCCATTAATTCATTATTTTGTTCATTTGATTTAATTCGACTAGAACAATAGAAAATACCTTGTTTTTCTGTTGATTTAAATACAAATTCGTCTTGATATAAATTTAAGAACAAAACAGAAAAGAATATAGATTAATAATGTAGTTAAAACTAAAATTTTTGAAAAATACTTTTTATTGAGCCATTGATATCATAAAATACAAATGTACTGTGACCGTCATATTTGTTTTGAGTAATAACGAGACCCATCATGTTGAAAAAAATTATTGATTTTATTGAAAAGTATGTATTCATTGAAAATTGATCAAATATTGTTATCAAAAGCAAAAAAAAAGAATCTTACGATATCATTTGTGGCTCCCTGAAAGACGATGTTGTTGCTTTTTCTTTTCTCTTCCTTTATTTGGCCTTATCTATGTGTATGAGAGAATATCAATAAGGCTCTGACAAACATGCGACTTTTGTCAATGAAATGTAGAAAAAAAACACGAAGTTTTTTCTTTATCGTATTCAAAAAAGAATTAAAATTTGCGGAAGAGTGTAGATGTCTTATGAAACTAAGATTCACTCACACCCAGACACATATCCTAGTAGAATTGCTCAAATTGAAACTATACCAAAACATATACATTCTATTATGAAGAATTAAAATGATGTCGTCTGTCATGAAATGACTGATGACTAAACACAGTTGTGTGATATCTTGATTACTGATTTTCAACAAAAGAATATCGAATTTTTTGTCTTCATTGTTATTTTAAAGAGATATTTGATAAGTAATGACACATACGACCGTGTAATATTCTCATAGATGTAAGGTCGAACAACAACAAAAACTGATTTTCACCAACAATTTGTAATTACTAAATTCAAAACAATTTATTCGATTAATTATTTATTTCATTATATTCAAACATATTACTCAATAGTTGACAAAAAAAACGTCACTATTATACCACCGTTTTGCTTACCTATTGTTCAATGATAAGTACGTATCAGTTATGAGTGAATGTGGGTACCCATGACAAGAAAGCCTCCACTCTTATCCGTACATTCGAACTCTTATGTATAGTTGATTTTGACATATATCGATCAGTTGTTGAATGTTTCCTATAGAAAAAAAATATGTCATTCAAGTAAAGAATCTTTGTTAGATAATTGTGTTCAAACCTTATAGTATTCTATTATATTGTAACTAAAGTCAAAGAAACAAAAGAATTCGATCTTGTATAAGCCAAATTTAGCAAAAAATAAGTGAAAACGTCTAACAAAACTGCAGTCTAAAACCTCCACGGTACCCATCAGGTGTAATCTGAAATGTTGTGCATATCCGTCAGGACCGGTCATGTTTTCGAGCAATATTCTTCAACTAATATGTTTGAACTAGTTCAAAATATACTGAAACCTGTTATGTCTTCTAGGTTTTGTTTGTTAACTCCGTTCAGACCAGTCAGCATAACAGACAAGCGAAAACCAAAATCAGACAAAAGGCGGCTTCAAACATATGTTTCGAAAGTACTTGGCATCGGATACACCGTCTGATGGTAAAATACGATTTAATGGTAGACAATAGTCAACTTCAATAGTCTAAATAGCATAGTGGTGTTTGTTCATTCGATATGTAATTCAACAAGTGTAGATATGGATGTGGACGAAGATATGTTTGTCCTTTTCATTCCATCGGTTGGTCTTTTATGAAAGACAATTTTAATTAAACGAATATTTATTCTTCCATGAACTATTTTGTAAAATGTCTTTTCAAGTTTATATTTTTATTTCAGAGTCATAGATATCAAACAGGATGTCGAAGAGGATATAAAGGTTCAGTTTCTTTTAACTGTATCATAAAGACATTTTCAGATGGTTGATATTGACGAACAATTTCAACTTGAGTGGATGTGTGGGTGTGGATAAGCTAAAGACTAACACTGACAAACACTCGTGTACACAGTTACACTTCACTGATACTCACGACTACACTTCACTGACACCCACAGCTCACATCCAAATCTAGACATGCACATCTACACTTCTAGATTGAACATCTTGTTTTTGTTCTTTCAGATGACATCAGTATGAATCATATCGATGTGAAAATGATGAGCTTACCAAAAGCTTAACACGTACACCCATCATTCACCCAGTCTCAAACCCTATGAAGCTTTCCAGATATTGGTCATTTTTAATTGATAGAATAAACCGCATATATATTTTGGAAGCTTCATACCTCGGCAAAATTCAACAATAGTGCCTGGTTGTAAATATTGGGTTTTATAAAAAGATCATTCACTAAACACGTTCGATCTTCTCGGAAACAAGCCATAATTCCATGAATTCTTTTCAGAACAGACATAAATGACTAAAATGTACAAGATGTACCAAGTTTAACTGAAAGACGTTTCGGTACCTGAGAATATTTCCTCGTACGTCAAACTCAAGATTTTGGAGCAGACTTTTTTAACTTATTATTTTGATAGAAATGCTGCAAGTTATATTTAAAATGAAAACAATATTTTCATCAAATTTTATGACGTTGCGTTTGGAGTGCCGCATTGTTAGTTTTGATAAGAAACAAATACACAAAAATACGGATCTGCTGCTTGAACTCATTATTAATGCAGATTTTCGTGTGTAAAGATCGAAAGACATCACTTACTTTATGTTCACTTTCAATAGTTGCATATTATCTCAACAGTATGATCATAATATATTCAAGTCCATTTTTTATGAGTTTATTTGTATGATTTTTAGTCAACATGAGTACATGATTTCGTGTCTATCAACAATTGATAAAACTTATGGATGAAGCTTGCCAATGTTATCGAAGACAGGCTTCATCTTATTTTTTGACCTTTTCATCGTGTGAATAAGTCCTCTCGTAGATTAGTCACAGTTCCTTTTTATTTTATCTACATAAATATTTTATGTTGATCCATTTGTTATTTTCTTTCTTTCACTTATCATTTATTCAATGAATATAGCTATACATGCGATCTTTCTTTTAAAGTGCTTTCTTATACCGACATCAATGTGTCGTGAATAATATAGCTTAGCATTTTCTTTGTAAGTTTTCATCATTTCTTTTCATTATTTGACATGAAACAAGCGTTCTCTTCCTCTGTTATCAATCGTATTGAAATTTTTTTTATTGCTCAATAAAAATCTCTTCTTTGATTAAATTGAAACCAAATTGAAAAGTATATTTTCTAAAAGTTTTAACGTTTTATTTGGTTCTGCTCAACCCAATTTTTAACCCCACTGTCCTTCATATAGCCCTGATACGTATGCTTGACTTTACATCTTTAAAAGATTCTCAAGTTACATCATTCTAAGCAGCGTTTAGGAATTTTTTTACTAGTTTCTTTTGTCTTTTTATAAACTCGAGAGCCACAGCAGCCACCCGTTCTTTACAAACAAGAAATTCTTGATTTTTCTGAACCACAATCATCTTGTATGTTTTTCTGTTACTTCCTTTCAAATACTTTGATGATTCTAAGATAAATAATGAATTCATATTCGCTATGACAAAGAAAGGTTAGAATGTAGGGATCATATTAGAAATTCCAATTTCTCAAAGAACACTTGATTGAAGCTTCCCAAGTTTGATCAAAAGATTTTTATGAGAGCTACAGAAGAGAATCCGATCGTACGAATAAAATACCTCATGTCCTTGCTTTATTTCTACTTAGAATAGAAAAGTTGTTGTGAAAAGATCAGGATTATGGAAGGTGGGGCATGGACTAAACGGAGATAAGGGATGATCAGGGAGTACTAATAACGAGGACAATTGACTGGTAAAAACAAAAAAATTATAAGAAAATAACTGGTTTGATCTCTAGTGCTTACAACTCAAGCCCTGAATTAAAGCGAAGTTCATTTTAGATATTTGGCATAGTGGACCTTTCGTCATTAACCTTAACGAACAGCACTCAAACCATTGATACAGAATATGAAATATACAATATCAATATTACTGTTGCTGCTTCTCACGACAACAACAATACTATCTGATCGATTTCCGCATCCAGATGCTATTAATCGTAGGTTTTGTTTTTTTTTGTTTAATACACAGACGGTTAACTTCAGCTAACATTTTCGTGAAAATTTTTTCAGAGATTACTCAACATTACAAAGATTCAACTTTTGGTAATGATGGAAATATGATAAAAATGTATCCATTGGAGAAAAATCTTGACGACTCTATACTGATTGAAAATGCCTATCTCGTCGAATTCGATCAAAGTGCAAATGTCAGAAATTTTCAAAAAACCATTTTCAACTCTTTGCAAAGATCTTTGGGAATCTCGCGACCAACTATCACAATGCGTCAAGTTATTTCATCATCATTATTCACTGGAGCTTCATTTTCAGTGAATACAGATCATTCTATTGAAGCTATTAAATCGATTCCAGGTGCCATTGCCATTTATCCAATCTACTTTGTACCCGGTCCTGAATCTTTCGAGAACTATATGCCAACTGGTAGGAAAAGTAACAATCAAATCGATTCGATCATTGCGCACAAACTGACAGGTGTCGATCAAGTTCATAAAGAATTGAAAAACTTTGGTAAAGGCGTTCGGGTAAAAAAATCAAAATTGTCATGAAAAGTCTTTTTCGAGAACTGATGAAAACAAACTAGTGATAAATAGTTACAATATATAATATTCGACCGAAAATTCTACTAATTAGAATAGAATAATGTTATCGATTCTTCTTTTGTCTTACTCTCACTATGGTATTATATGTGTACGTGTGTGATTTGTGGCATAGAATATATTTATTTCAGAAAAAGAGAATAACAACATGAATCCAACATATCTGTATATACATAGTTAAATAATAGAACCCTACTGTAATAGCCACTCGAAGTTCTTTCTGTCCTGTGATTTTTTTAATGCTTGGCTACTGCTAAATTTTCTTACCAGTACAAAATAAAAAATTCAGAAAGTAGCTCTATCGCGCTCCAACTATGCTGGATTAATATCTTTGTTTGATATTTTGATTTTCTTCGATGTGTCTGAAAACAGATTCTTGAGAAACTTCGAAAGTTTGTTGAACAATATAAATATTCAAAATTCTATGGAAAGTCCTATTTATTTTATTCTTATTATTATATAGATAGCTATTATTGATAGTGGTATCGACTATTATCATCCAGCTCTTGGAGGCTGTTTTGGTCCAGATTGTAAAGTTGCATTTGGTTATGGTAAGACGAGACTTCGAATTTTTCAAGGTATACAAAGAAAGATAATGATTGAACTATTTGTAGATCTGGTTGGTGATAGATTCAGTAGGTCGTATATTATACCTGAGCCTGACAATGATCCACTAGATAATTGTTCAAAATCTTCTCATGGTATTTAACAATATTGCATTCATCTTGCTTAAATAATTGTTTTTTTCTTGTATGAAATATAATATCAGGTACACATGTTGCTGGAATACTTGCTGCAAATGCAACCGAAGTATTACAAACAGATTATAGTCCTATAGAGCCATTTCTCGGTGTTGCTCCACAAGCAACTATTGGATCATGTAAATATATATTCTTTCTCTCTAACGAACTCAAGAGTTGTCTTTACTTCATATTACAGATCGTGTTTTTGGATGCTCTGGAAACGGTACTACTACAGGTAGAGATGAATCAATATCTATTGGTATTATTGTTTTCATTCTCTGTATGCATATTGTTCTAGATCTCATTACTGCAGCCATATATCGTGCTTTTGAAGATAAAGCTGATATAAGTAAGTTCTTATAATGTCATAAAATGATTTTCTCTGATTCTTATCCAATTCAACTTCTTTCCTCATATAATTTTTGCATAAATCAAGAGCAGTGTGAGACTTTATTCTAATAAGTGGCATCTGATCATTTGTCGTCGTCCTTGACATTTCACAATGAGCAACAACCGATGGATACTTGTTTTTTTCTATTTATGACATTGTATTATTGAGACTTATTTGAAATGATAGTGAACTCTATTGTTAGAATCAGCCTTACGAATATAATGTTATAAATAGAAGAGACGGATATTAATCGGTTGTTGCTTATCATGAATTTTTCATCACAACATTAAGTGATTAGGAACTATTTATCGGAATGAATTCAATGTCTTATCTGTCTGTTTACCTCAATTTTAGCTCATGTAAGATGGAACGAAAGTTTTCTGGGAGCAAAGTAAGAGTGCTCCTGACATCGTGGCACTACAGAAATTGCATAAATCATAAATATGTTCTGGGATGCTATAGAGTGATCTAGGAACTCATATTGATGATAATCATGTATCCCCCTATTGAATTGTCATCACATGTTTGACGTTGAGTATAAAAACTATTTCAAATCATAATTAGTGAATTTTCAAAATTAACCAGTGATCCAATCAAATAAATCCGATGGTTGACTTTATAATGCCACGTTTTAATTAATTCTCTCTAATGTTCCATTTTCTTCATTTTCGTCAGCTCTTTTGCTAAAAATGATGTTGTCTTTGTAAATCGTCAAAAACCTGAAGAAAGAGATATGCCCAAACCTAAGAAGAAGGCTTAAAAACAAATATGTATTGTTTAGATCTTTTCGGTCCTAAATAAGGCCAGTTAAAATGCTGAATTAGATAGTGTTTTCAAAACTACGACAAAATAGAATAGTCTTAAGCTAGTTTATGAAAGGTACACTCTAATAGACTTCGTCTTAAGTCACATGGGAACGTACATGATATAATGAAAAAAATAACTTTAATCCCATTCTCAGCTTCAGAAATATGTAGGGGAGACACTAACCTATGAATTATTCTACTGAAAACTATTAGAAACTACGTAAAAACTCAATTGATATTCCTATTTATCAGTGGACTTTTGAAATGTCATCGAACACCCTTGCATAATTTTTTTTGAATGGATTTATCAAGACTAGAAAGTCCAAGGTCGATGATTCCTGAAGCAATATTCCGTGAATTTCTGGCGAAAACCCACAAGAAACACATCGTTTCCGGCCGGAACACGCGGGAAAATGCCAGAAATTCGACGCAGGAATCCGGTGACCGTATCTGGTTGCCGGTTTTGCCAAGTTCCTGTCGGTTTCACCCGGAACCAGATAAATCCGATCACCGAAATACCGCTTCCATGTTTCTTCGATTTCCGATGTTTTCTCTGGGAACCAGCCCGTATTTCTCGACCTGGGTTTTTGCTTGAGTAACACATCGTTGGATATAAAGTAGATTTTTCAATAACGTAATTATGCTCGACGTCTTAGTTTTTATTTACTGATGAATATTTGATCTAAATTGATATTGGAGATAGAAATCACATAAAATAAGATGTCTCTAACACATCTAGTTACTATGTCTATTGGAAGTGTTGGTGGTTATGCTGAGGGATCGATTGGCATTGCTGTGCAACGTGTATCCGAAGCTGGAGGTAACAATCGTCTTTTTCTGAAAGAAATTTTCTAGAATTTCAAAATTTTTCTATCAGTCTATGTTATAAGTTCGATGGGCAATGAAGGAAGGGAAGGTCTTCAAACGGGCGCAACTCCAGCTATTGCTAAAGATGTCATTGCTGTTGCTTCAGTAGATAATTCGTATGAAGCCAAATTATATTTAATTGTACCGAATGGTGAAAAAATTTTCTATAAATCCGGAGTTGCTTACGGCGGGTGGCGATCGACTGTAAACTCGACTATTGTCGTCAATGGTTAGTTTTATCCCATTGCTTATCTCCAAATAAATAAGCATTTTCTATAATAATTAGATCCACAACCCACAGCAAGTGATGGTTGCTCTGGTCCCTCGAAACCGGTTTCAGGTGCTGTTGTTTTGTATGCTTTTAGTACAACAGATACATGTGACTCTTCTGTGCGATGTAACAAAGCAGCAGCAGAAGGTGCAATAGGATGTCTCCTATATAATATCAGTTCTATTATAGGTTCGATTTCCTATAGTTGTTTTGAAGTTAACACTATAGCTTTTAGGTTCCTCCATTATTCCGAGTGGAAGTATTAGTTTAGACGATGGTTGGAGCATTATTACAATGGTGACAGAAAATCCATCAGCTATGTTTACATTTACCAATTTGCTTGAACTTATTCCGACGGTGAGTGAATAGGATTCTGATTAGTGATAATAGTAAGGAGAAAAAGCAATTGCTGGTGTGTATTCATGATTTAAGCGAACACCCATTTTCTACGAGTCATAGAGAAAAAGCCGTCAGAAAATACTAACAAATAATCATCCTTAACACTAACACCTACAGAACTATGTAATCTTTCGATGGATATATGATTGTACTAGATTTACAAGTAAATTTTTCTTGAAAACATTTCTTTATATGATCCAAAATTAGTAAGATATAAAAACAATCCACTAGAGCCGTATTAAATGTTCTTACAGCACGAGAAAACTACTATAATTTAACCTCTGATAGGATGTGAATATTCTGTTCACTCGAATCCATAATTTCATATAAAACATGAGAATTCCTCAAAAAGTAGACTTTTATTATAATATGGCTACTGCCTAACTTTTTCTTTAAAATAACTTTTTAGTCAAAGACTAGTCCTTGAATAAAATTGGCTCTTAACTCAACTTATTTGTGTAAAAGAATTAGAAAAACTTTTTTTCAAATTGAAATCAATACCTAAAGTTTTCTGTTGCATTTGTCGATTTCATCTTTGAATTATTTGTTTAAACAAAATTCAAATACAAGTTAACAGTTACGAGATTTTTTATTTGAGAATTTTTTTATGCTTCAAAAATAGGTCGACTAAGTAACACATTTTCCGAAAACTTTTAGAATAATTAATAATTTTATCCAGAGAGAAGATTAGGAAATCGGTTGCTGTTTGTAAGACAAAAACAAATCGACCTTAAATTATGAGCATGTACTTTGTTTTGTTAAAAATATTCTACACAAAAATTTTTACAACATTTACTTAAATATCATTGTTTCTTTGATGAAAATGGTTAACATAATGGAAATGAATACGAGATAGTTGTACATTATATCTCCATAAACTGAGTTCAAAATATGTTTTTTTTTCTATCTTTATATCCACTTGTAGTCGACAGTTGGAGCACCTTCTCCATTTACATCGCTTGGTCTCACAAGTGATTTATTATTCAAACCTCAAATTAGTGGTATTGGCGGTTATGTTTACTCAACTATTTCATCTTATGCTGCTCAAAGCCAATATTTGACGCAAGCCTATGCTTCCTATTCAGGGACAAGTATGGCATGTCCTTATGTTGCAGGGTATGTATGAATGAGTGTATAATATCTCCATGAAGTAGAAAATAAAATTTCGTACGTAACATATTCATGAGATCGGTGCTTGACAGTATTGCTAAAAGATTTCGCTGCTATTTTTATGAACTATTTTTTCTAATCGAATCGTAGCGATAGATCGGAGTTTTCGAGATATATCTTATTTTGAAGCCATAGTGTAGTGAGAAAAATGTACGTTTTTAAGGTTGATCAACAATCACTCTATTTGAATATAAATATTTTTAATATTTTAGCAAATACCAATGATAGTCATGAAAGCATAAAGATGAATTTATCTGTGTTTTTTCTTTGAGAAGGTTTCAACGTACAAAAAATTATTTTATCCAATGTCTTTAGTATTTATGCTATTTATTTTTCATTTATTGTATTGGAAGAACTCTAGCACTCTTCCTTTCACAAATCGGTAATCCAGCGCCCAAAACAGTCGGTAGGGAGTTCAACAATGAAACTCGTCGTCCATCAATCTCAGAAGTTCTCAGCATATTCCAATCGAATGCTAATCCAGTGAACATTTACAATTCGACTCTTCTTGCTCCAACTGTTCAGCAAGGTGCTGGATTGGTGAATGCTTTTCAAGCAATAACAGCTACGACAGTCATTTCACCAAGTGAACTTGCATTGAATGATACTGTGAGGCAACAGAAGTCCTACGTAATTGAAGTATCGAATATTGGCAAAAAAACAGCTTCATACAAAATTAGCCATCGTGGAGCTGCATTGATTACTGGAATTGAGGACGGGAACGATCAACTCTTGTCTCAGCCATTGTATTCGGCTGACTATGCTGTAAGTCGTGTTTGTATGATAAAAGCATGTCAAGTTTTTACAAACATTCGAGTTAACAGAAAATCAAGTCCTATTAAGGATCATCTGTATAAAATCCAAAATTGACATCAACGAATTAAACGGATATTAGGTGACATATCACAAATGAGTCATTTTGACGTGATTTTTGAGTAGGAGAAACATAGCTTGAAAACTTTGTTCTAAGCATATGTGACCTAACATTTGTAAGTACAAGTTTGCATAAATATTCGATGTTTTCCTACGGTCATACAGGTTTCATAGACTCACCTTAACGGTGAGAAAAATGATCCTCTTAAATGTACTCAAAAATAGTATTTCGCATAACTTTCAAGAATTTTTTTAATAATAACACTAGAATATTGAAAAACTTCTCGAATACAAGCTTTCTAAGTTAAATATCCTTTTTTTGATATTATGATTGATGAAATCTTCAGAAAATACGAGATTACTATATGATTTTGTTCCGATAAGAAAAATTTTCAAAAAAAATATCAAATTTGCCGAACGAAAAATTCTCTATCACATGAGCTTAAACCGAAGGCAATATCTGTTCGATTTTTCGATCACCTAAATGTCGAAGATTTTGAATAAGATATTTTGGATATTGAAATTGGAACAGTAACAATCTTCATCCTACTTTCTTATTTTGGTAGTTATAGGTTCTGTAGGAATAAGAATTTATTTCGATTTCTACAGAAGATGTCAGATTTTTTGGAATTATTACACTCTTCTTTTACTTGATCCTCCAGCAATGCAATACAGAAATATGTACCAATTTGAAGATTTTCGATGGAACTTATTTAGGTTTCTAGGAAAACCATTTCAATTTTGAATTCGAAGCTGAGAATTAAATTTTAAAGAAAAAGAATGTATAGGACGCGATAATAGTTAGAAGATTGAATGGATAGTGTTAAATCATTTGATTGAATTTTATGATTTTCTAAATAAAGGATGTTCATATTTGGCCAAAATATTTTCAACTTCATCCTGGGCAATCACATACAGTTACTCTTCAATTTCGACCACCTCATCAAGCCAATCCGAATTTCCTTCCTATCTATTCAGGCTTCATTGATGTGACGAATGATCTTGATGAAAAAGTTGCTCATATTCCATGTAAATATTAATATCTAGAAAACTTTCACTACTCATATTTTGATTTACATATATATTTCTGTATAGATGCTGGTGTTGTTGGTAATTATAGTGATGCACGTATTTTTGTTCGCAATAATCCGCAAGGATTTATTTCGGGGATTGTTGATAACGATGGATACTATATTAAAGATGGACAAGAATTGAATGTCACAGCTGCGGGTGCATTTCCAATTATATTAGTTACGGCATGGGCTTCGCGTATAATTATAGTCGAAGTTGTTTCGGGAGAAAATCATAATTCACCTGAATTCAATTCAAGGTAAAAAGAATCGCATCAAAGAATATAATAGTAATCAAAGATTTCAGAGAAAGAGTAGGTGACATTGAAAATGAATAAGTTATTTCAACCTTTCTATAATTCCAATCGGTTTGGTCTCATTTGATAGAGAAATTTAAAAAAATGACAAGATTCATATACAAATATGCATTAATATCAATTTCATCAAAGAAAAGACTTATTCAAAAAGCCCTATAATTGCTAAGGCAACCTACACCTTTATGGTAGAGACTTTCGAGAAAAACAAATCAGTTTTGTGATTAACATAGTTGAGTCCAGTAGAAATGATCAGAAGTTCTGAAATACAACACTTTGAGCTATCTAATATACAAATGTTTAAAAAAAATCAAAGATGAGCGATTCAAAGGTGTGACGATCTTTCATCTCACAAGCAATTCTCTTCATAAACAAAAATTCGGTAATAATTGACCAAACATTTTGATTATTTATCTATTATTCCATATAATTTTGATTCTATTCAAATGAAAATCAGCTAACATGAGTCAATTTTATTGGCTTACTTCTATGTTTCAATCAGTCATTACTCTTAAAATGACAATATTCGATTCGACTCTAACGATTCAGTAGTTGTGTTGGTTCGAAATCAGAACAGTCTTTTTAACTTGGTAAAATCGTCAAGCAGGAAGTATTGTTTTCAAAAGAAAGAGAAATAACACTGTTTGGTTGATGTATAATGAAAAAAAGGCTTTACTTATGTATTCTGCTGAAACTATTCAATGAATAATTATCTTTTCTTTTTCATATCATAGTTATGGTATTTTGTTCGATCTTCGTCAGCGCAGGCCGCTATATTTAGTGAATGTGCCAAGAAACGGGGCTACTGGTTTAAGTGAATTGTACAGAGAATACTCGTTGTATCTATGGTCTGGTGTGGTCACTCAAGCAGCTACAAGTCAAAATGATGTGTTTTTTCGTACGACAAAACTCTCTTCTGGTCGTTATAAACTTCGATTTTCGGCACTGAAAAATTTTGGAAACTATGGAAATGATAATGATTATGAAGTTTACGATACACCATCATTCAATTTGGTCTATTAATTTACCATAATGACAATCTTATCGTTCTTTCTCTTATTCTTAGGTTACTGTTCGTTCGATTTTTCTTTGAAATTGTTGTTCTTCGAATTCAGTATAATAAACAAGAGATAATCTGTTGTTTAGTATCATAGTTAATTTAGTCACAGAATGGCAATCAAGAGATTTGTTCTACATGAGCATAGATGAGCATATTGTTCTCATATTGGGTGGCGTCCATTACATAACACTAAGAGAAGACATTAACTCGCTACTTGGTACCGGTGCAAGTCGATATGACTTCATCGGATATCATTGCTACTGATATTGCATGTTTGGCTAGGTATCAAGATGAGCACGACCTTTCGAATTGACAGTTTTATATGCCTTACTAACTATGAAATGTAGCGGTGCTCATTGACAGTCACTGAGAATGGAACACAGTTTGTTCGTGCCCGTATTACATTTATGCTAACAGAACGTGAGCAACAAGCAATTATGAAGTGAGTGAGTATGAATGTGAGATTGATACCTTCTTTCAACCACATCATACGCAACGAAAATAATAATATGTGATAGTGTAGGTGTGGGTGTGATTGTGGGTGTCAATGTTGTAAGACCTTACACTCACAGCTACACTCAATCCCACATCAGTCCACACCCCACCTACACCTATACTACTTACTGCATCTTATCTTTTGTTTTCATACAAATATCGTTGCAATCGATTCCAATTACAAGGCAACATTATATTCTAACTAGTGAGCGCCCGTGCATACTGCACGGCTGTTTTCTCCTTTAACGTATAACCTAAGACGTTTAACTTCTCATTCAGGAACAGACATACAAACACTCGATATTATGTAAATAGATAGATAGCCCTATGATCTCATACTCTTATATCGCACATATTTTAATAGTCCATGTAGCCTTCGGCCTTATAGCCTTGTATCCCTTGTAGCTATTGTAGTCTTATCCCCTTATTGCCTTAATCCCTTGAGAACCTATGGCTATCCCCATATTATAGCTCTTCATGTCCTATAGATATACCATATAATAGCCCTTGAGGACTTGTAGATACCCCGTATAATAGCTTTTAAGTACCTATGGATACCCTCATATAATAGCTGTTGAGGACCTATGTGTACCCTCATATAACAGCTCTTGAGAACTTATGGGTACGCTATATAATAGGTCTTGAGGAGCTATGGGTACTTCTATATAACAGTCATTGAGGACCTATGGGTTCCCTATATAACAGCCATTGAGGCCTTTCGCTTATAGGATTATTTGACCTTTAACCTTTGACCTGGGCACAAAGACGTCATACAGACACTGAACAATGTATCTATAGATTTAGGTTGAACATAGAAAAAACTTTATTTTACAAATCTATAATGTAATATAGAGATATAATTAAAAAGATACTGATTACGTAGAGCATATATAAAACTAATGTAAAAATGGAACAAGTACTTCATGAGTGACATCTTCTTCACAAAGAAAGTGTGCATGTGCAAACAATTCACCGAAAGGCTTGAGACTGTTAACTTCATTTCTCCTTTACATATTTCTTTGCAATTCTGCTTCTGCGTCATAAAGTTGACAAGAAAAGAAGGAAAAAGAAAACATGCAAATGATTCTTTATCTAACTCTTCTAATATTACTGTGCATCGTCATTGTTAACAACATTTTTTTCATTTATTTATCAACGACTGACATATTTTTATTTCGAAATAACTCTTGTATATCTTCAAATAATCATTTATCATGTCTAGTTATTGCTTTTTTGATCAATTGCCTGTCGAATTATTACATACTGTATTTACCTATTTTTCGGCACATGAAATCCTTTTTACTTTTTCTGATATTAGTGATTATATTAAAACAGTTTTACAATCTTATTCTGCCTATCGAGTAAACTTGAAATCAATTCGAATGTCCGGTTTTAATCTTATCTGTCGGAATATTCAACCAGAACAAGTTATTTCTCTTACCATCTCCGATGATGATGATACACCTGGTCAATCGCAGCTTTTCTTTTCTCAGTTTCCAATAGAACAATTCACACATCTACTTTCTCTTACATTGATCAAGATTGAATTACACTCATTAAGAGCTATTTTTATTAACTTGTATAGACTGAAACAATTACGTTCTCTTTCATTCAATGTTCAAACAATTAGGTATCTTTATGGATACAGTGATGATGGACCTGGTACTTTATTAATTAATACTTACCGTCAACTAATACCTCAATTAAGTTATCTACATTTAAACAATAATATTGTCATGATGTCTATACCACTTCCATATATTCATCACTTAAAGCTTGAAAGATGCTCAGTTAGAGAACTTGAGACAATTTTACAACAAACATCTCAACTTAAATCATTATGCGTTTGTCTAGATATGAACGGATTAAAATTTGAATTTAACATACCAAGTAATCAGCTGATTAGACTTCATCTAGAAATCCAGAGTAAGTATTAAAACAAAACCCTATGCAGTTATCTGAAGAAGTTCAAATTTTCAAAGAATGATTTGACACGTTTTTGAAAATTTCTTAAATCTATCATGAGAACTAGTTCAAAAGTTTTGAGCCCTGTCGAGAAAAAATGGCTTGCTCTTTCTTATTCCATGGACTGAAGGGAATGCCATATGAAATAAAATGAGTTTGTCTGCTTGCTTGCTTGCATGTTAGCAAATATGTGTTGAGTCATGTGCATACATAAAAGGGAGATAGTAACTTCCTCTAAAATTTGACCCAAGGTAATCAGATTCGGGGAATCCGGATCTGAGGTGACTTTTTAAAATTCGCTATTTGATTTTTGAGTAAGAAAAGGTTTTTTTAGAGTGAAAAATCAGCAAATCAGATGTGTTGGTTTAGTCACACGTGCAAATTTGTTCACTCGACACTCAGGAAGGATAGTATGAAACAAAATAAGTTCATTTACTGTTTGTTTGTTCCAGGCAATCAGTTGCGCCTGCACAATCATGTTTAATAGGCATTGTCGCAAGACACTCTTTCCATAGAAAGTAGCAGAATAGCCCTAGTGTATTTAATTTTCGTTGGAGAAGTCTTGTGTTATAGATCGAAGACTTTTTTATCAAATAAGGCACATATATATCGTTTTGATTGTAAATAAAATAATATCATTCTTGGCAGAAGTGATTTTTAGCAAGTGAGCGGCTAGCCGTGCGTGCCGAAGAATGGCTAGACGCTGATCTGAAATATTTATGGAAAGAAGGATTCCGGCTACTGCAATACATAAAAAAAGTCCCTATCGAAGGAAACCGATCTGTTGAATAATGTCAGAGAACGACGGAAAAGTGTAAAATTATTTTTCCATGCCAAGTCTGCGAATCGATTTTTCTGTAGAAGTACATCTCGGACGTGCATTTGGCGACAAGCAAGAAGTAGCATATTGGTATTAAAGCTTTGTCCGTGTACATAGAAAAGCACACTTTTTGCTGATTAAACGCAAAAAGTGATCACTAAAAAACTCGGATTTAGGGTAGCGTTCACACACAGGCAGATCAACTTGCTTGTAGGCTCATTATGAAGGTCAACACTATACAAAACAAGAGCTAACAGTTTGAATTTTCTTTCCTTTCTTAAAACAAATATATTAGACTTCTTGTCTGTAGTTAAGGCCTGTGCTAGAGCTACAATAGTATAACACACAGCTCGTTACCTGGAATAAAAATTGGATAATAAATAAGAGCATAGCAAGACTGTGAAGAAGGTAAACGTCGATATTCTATGAACTAAGCTATAGTTTCAGTAATGCTCATTTACTGGTCACCTGTTTTTTGACACTCCAACGGAACAAAGTACCTTAGTAGCCGGCTCGCAATCTCTTAGTCTTGTGGATTTTATATCTTATCTAATCTATGTTTAGCACAACCAGCAGTATCTTGAAGAATGATTTATATTTGCTGCACGGTTTGAAAACAAACGTAGTACCTTCATTTTTTCTGGAGAAAAATGATCTTTTAGTTCTGTGCTCAGCGATGATTAGTAGGAAATACAGGATTATTTGAAGCCGTTCTTGGCGTTTCACTAAAGAAGCAATTTCAGCAGAATATAGATTCTTCAGGAAGTCTGACTCAATTCTACTTTGAATCAAATTGGCAGACTCAAAATGAAATTATAGGATCTCGACAAGAAATCATTCTAGATAAAAGGGAAATTTTTGACGAAGAAATGAGCGGACTCCATTCTGAAAAGATTTCAATGTGAGTTTAATTCAATCGTCACATCCGACTGGAAGCTATATACTAAAGTTTATTTTAGAAATATCGACACAAAGTAGAAAGATCGGATCTATTTACGAAATAGCAGTCATTCACAATATTATAGGCAGGTTTTTATATGTGTGTGTATTCAGCGATAATTCCTAAAGCAGAATGGAGCAAGTAATAACAAATCATTACTATATTGAATGCAGTCGAGAATCAAGCGAGTCCTAGCGGCGAACGTTACTTGTTGCTAGAGAAAAAGCATTCAAGATTTAGCGTATTGTGTCGAATGTTTATATATAGAAACATTGTTTTTCTACGATAATTCTATTTTATTCAATATATTCAATATTAAACTGTGTAGCTCAACTTTAATAACAAGTCGAATCCTTGAAACTATGTGGTTGCTTTTACTTTGTCCAAACTAATATTCATTTTTTCTTAAACAAATTCATACGAAGAAAATTATTGGAATGTTTTGATTTTGTAGAATCTATAATATCAATTGATCAAATGGAACAATTTTTATGGCAGTTTCCTTATCTAAAGCATTTAGAAATCAAAGCTCATGGTTGGAAAAATCTTTTTGATGGATACCAATGGCAAAAATTAACTAATTTCTTCACTACATTCAATTTCAAGTTCGATACAGAAGATATTTTAATGGATAATATTCTCGACTCATTTTCTACTCCATATTGGCTTGAAGAAAAACATTGGTTTATCGGATACAAAAACGGATGTTTATTTTCAATACCTCATTTTGCTCCTGATCATATCGATATTTCTTGGCAAACAAGTCTTCGCTCCACAGCACTTAATCATACGGTTATCTACGATCGTCTAAATAAAATTACAATAAAAACAGATGTCATCGATAGTAATTATTATTTTACTCATATCAAAGAACTTATACTCGAATGTTCAATATCAGTCCAGATTCTTACTTCTACTATGGATCTAAATCAAATAAAACACTTATCTGTATTATCAATAGATGACATATTAAAATTAATTCCTCTGGAATCAAATATGCCTCAACTATGTGAATTATCAATTAAAAATGATGTGACAAGTGATATGATTGAACGAATTCGACTTTATCGATTTTCACAAATTCATAAACTTGAAATAGGCATTTTTACTAAATACAGTGATTATATAACTGAAGAATTATTTCGTCTTTTTGCATTTGTACAACATCTTATTTATAAATCACCTATTGAATCCATACAAACAATGATTTGTTTCATTGATGGATTTAAACATTTATCAAATGCATCTTTTTTTTGTGATGATGTATTCTTTGACACCGAAGCCAGTTTTTGTCAAGATCCAAATTCAATAATCGAGTACTCAAAACGACTTACGAAAGATAATTTTACATGTCGTATTTATCGATCAACAAAATATGGTTTATCATCATATGGTATTTATTGGTGGATAGAAGACCAGGTAGAATGTTCTTTTAAAATAAAATTATTATAAATACGTTTTTTTTTCTATTTAGCCATCATCATCTATTGTAAATATGTATTGGTTACCGCAACAAAGATATCATTGGTATCGATTTAAATATTTTTTCTTATTCATGTTCCATAAAAGTTTTTGTTTTAATTAAATCTATTTTCTTCTTTGTTGTACCACTCATAATCCTATTATCTATTGGGATTGTAATAATTTGTAATAAGTTTGATTTCTAAAACTTCAATACTTGTATTGTCTTTATCGTTAGTTTATTTTTTTTATTCTTTGCTTCATTTACGATATTACTTCATTGTATTGGAAATTATAGAATGATTTTCTTATTTAATTAGATATTTTATTTTATTGTAATAAACAAGATATTGTTATTTTTATTTTGTATCAATAAATATTATTCGAGAAAATTAGCTTCAAAAAGGTAACTGGGAAGTCATATTGAAGAGATGTTGGAAATTGTTTATTTTTTGACAAGAACGAACATAGGATCACCACCATACCTCCAATATTAACACACGAAAAAAACATTTCGTATTCTCTTCAATATCTAATCATTATTCATCTTCGAATAGTTGGATTAACTAACAATACGATATATTTTAATACTAAAAATTCGTAGTACATAGTTTCAATACAACTGAGAACTGCAAAGAACAAGCATTGGTGATTAATTTGTTATATTATACAAAGTTACATCGAGAACAAATTTAAATAATACGTTCTTTCTTAGAAAGCATATTAGCCGTAAGAGATACATATGATGTTTAAAGTGAAAATTAGAAGAAAATGAAATAAGTGTTTTTTTACTTATTGTTTCAATATGAATACATAAATGAAATGATCGATCAAAAGTTGATTATATTATCGTATGTTCATATTGTGTATAAGAAATTCTCGAATTTGAATTGATTTAATTATCACATCATGTTTCTGTTCGTTAGATTTAGTAACTCTCGAGCTATTCAAGATGAAATTATTTTTACTTGTTCTGAGTTCAATGATTATGTCAATGAAATTTTATGATCCTATTCTACTTATCGATATATTTATTCACCTGAATCAACTTCGTTTTCGATTTTTGATTGTGTATGAAACGAAGTCTATCGTTTTTTTGATTTTATCATTCAATATACTTGAGATAGTGTTTCCCATAGTATACAATTTTCGTTTTTTACGATTTAGTTTTTAATGATTGATTGATATTAGCTAAAACTTACACAAATACAAAGAGTTTCTATTGTGTACAGGCTTGTCGATTAGGGGGGGGGGGGGGGGGGTTTTCCTCCCGCTAAATTCGGATCCTTTCTGCCAATTTTTTTTCCGCTGTATTTCTACGTGTTTCTGCTGAAAAATATTTTTTCTCGCTTTCATACAACCTATATATAAACAAAATTTAAGAAGATGAATTTCTCAAAATTTCCTCTCCGCGATGCATGCATACTTATTGATTAGTGGTAGCAATGCAAACAGTTGAGTCATATTATCCCTCTTTCTGGCAAAAATAGATAGATAGCATCAAGAATATATTTTCTGCAAAATTTCCGCAGAAAATCAACTTTAGAGTACTTTTCTTTGGCAGAAAGCTCATATGTACTCTTTGCCTAAAATTTTTAGTGAATTTCGGTCTGCTTTACTGCTCACTGTCTGGTTGTGATTCCATCTCTGTTCAATAAACGACGTGTAAAAGTGAATTGAACTTATTTTATTCAAAATAATTTATATTTCAACGAACCCATTCGTCATCGGCACAGTGAACAATAAATATGTTATATATATAGTGCTGGCAATTCGAATTTCAAGCAAAATTTTTTTTGACCTTTCTTTTACATCATTTGATAGAGTGTGAGCTGCTGATCACGAAAAACTACTTTTTTAGCGCCAGAAAATGCTTTTCCTGGTCGAAAAATACGAAAAACACATCTTTTTCAAAATGTGCAAACTTTTCTGCTTCCTTCTTTTTTCCAGCTTCTAAAAATATTTTTTTTCAAATTCAGCATAAAAAACTGAGTATAGACAAGTTGTTAGATCGAGCCCAATCTAAAGAATTTTTTGATGATGGTGCTTCGAATCACGCCGACTGCAATACGTATAGGTCGATTTTGTAAGCCTATCTAGTTTTTTTACGTAAGAGATGGAGTCAAATATTTTATCTCATTTAACTCATCATACCACCAGTCACAAAAGAACGCATCGCGTTTTTCTTCTTTTCTTTTCTTTGTTGAGAAAAACTGTTTTTCTGAATTTTGGGCTAAATAGATAGAATTTGACTC